GGTGTCAATCAACAGTGCAACTTTTGTGCCGCAAAAAATTTCCGTTTGTGTCGTTGTCATTTTTAAGCTTTTTTTTTTAAAGAAAACGTTTCCAGAGGTAATGAGAAATCAACCTGCCTCGTCCCCCAACACGTTAACAAAATTGATCTAAATGAATAGTGCTGCGTTTGTGCTGCTAAAATTCTAGTCAAACACCAAATAACACCAAATTTGTTGGATTTTGTAAGTCTGGCAGGGACTGGTTGACCTTCAATAACCTCTGAAGGTACCAGAAAACATTTACCAATGTCTTTAAAATGATGGCAGCACAGACGAAACTTTTTGCTGCACAAACATTCTACGCAATTTTTATTTAATTTGAGTAAGGTGGGTAGAGGGCTGGGTGCCAATTTCCCAGTGGTTATATAGCCCTTCATTAATGCTTACTTACAGTAAGCTAACTGTGAAATAACAAAAAAATAATAATTAAAAATCATGAAATGTCTCTAAAGCTATTTTACGTCTTGCAGTTCTTATTATTTAGCCAACATACACAGTTTTAGTAGTCCTAATAAGAACACTTACTCAGATTTCATGTCACAGTGAGAAACGGTGGTGTCTTTCAGTACAGTGGACATAAATACCCTCCCACTTCCTGGTTTTGCTTTACATTTACAGACTTAACGCGGTTTGCCCGGTTCCGGTCCCATTCTCTGAACCGGCGGGCCGTTCAGAGGCGGATGATTGAAAACCTGTTAGCTGGCCTCGCGCCACTTAGGACCCACTCAGCCTGTTTGTTTGGGTAATTTCCTTTTCCGGTTCCATGTATTTCTTTGAGCAGACGCCGCATTTTGTCCTCGAAAACCAGAGAAAACAGGAAGCAGAGGTAATATTGTTTGTGGCTCGGCGGTGACAGTCATCAAAAGCAAGAGGAATAATGAACTCGGTCTTATGTTGTTTTTGTGTGTGTGTGTGTTTTTTTAATTGACATCCTTCACATTCTTCTTAATAAAGCTTTTAACCAAATTGTTTCTCGTCCAGGTTGCTTCTGCGTTATTAATTAAAATGTTAACACTTCCCATTTCAATAGATATTCCTCGTGTGAAAGACAAATAAACTGAACGGACACACAGACAGACAGACGTGTGGAGGGTTGGAATCATGTCTCGATTTCTGCGCTTTGTGTCGAGCTCCACTCGGCTTCCCTGCCAAATAATTATACTCTGCAAACCAGCATTAGGCATGCTTCACTGTCTCCTATATTTAGAAAAGAGTGTTTCCGAAGTCCCAATTCACAGCGCAATAATTCATTCAATTAAACGGATTGTTCGAGAGTTCAGGCAGGGATAATCAGAACACCAGATATAATCAATCGGGTGTCTTCATCACATTCCCAGGATTTGCCAATAAGAATGGCCCCTCCGCGTTGTGTTAACGCTTACAAATGACCGGATTGCTGTTGGAAACCGGAAAAGGAATGCGAACACAAAAGAGGCAGAAGTACAAAAAAGTAAATAAATAAATAAATAAAACTATGTTATCAGTGTTAGAGAAGGCGTGGGCTTTGACAGCCAAAGAGGCAGAGATGACAGGCTCTCTGAAGTCACACAGCAGCTGCTTTCAGGAAGGAAATAATGTTTTCTCGCTGGTTATTCGCACACGAGATGTTGGTTTTTGCCCCTGGTCTCTTTACTGTTCATTTCATTCCTGAAGATTGACTCTACACGTCGTTTAGATTGAATTTAACCCGTCAAGTTTCCGCTTTGTCACATGCATGATGGCTTACAGGTGAAGTGAAAGTCACACACACATGAGGGAATTGAACACACAGACACACACACACACACGCGCGCACACACACGCACCATACGATGCAAAAATGGAAACTCATTACATTCGGCTGTCTCTGACAGGAAAGTCGCTATGATATAACAGCGATTTTAGCTGACAAAATCAATTTGTTCCTACTGATGGAAAAAAAAACATAAAAAAACCCCAAGTGAAATCTCCATCAAGGATTATGTTTTGTAAAAGAAAATTAAAGTTGTAATCCAGTCTGGTCTGTGAAGCCATTCTAACTGACTTTAGAAAGAGTTAGTCACCTATAGAACAACATGTCCTGTTGTTGGTAGCTTGTTGTAAACAGTTATTTGACTAAGCTCAACAAAAGCAAGCTGCCACAGGCATATGACTGATGACATCACATGAGGCAAAGGCTGAAAAACCACTGTTCTGTTGTGTTGTTTGTTGCTTTTCCCTCATTGTTTGAATGTTTTTGATCAATTTGCACCTTCAACTGTGTCCTTTTGTGTTTGGTTTGGCCACAGCAAGACATTTCAGCTGCATGGACTTCTGACATTTGGCATCAATTAAACACAAGGAAGTGGTTTAAGAAATGCAGAAGATGCACAGATGTGTTAAAGAAGTCTGAGTTCAGGCTGCTTTGTCCAGGCAAACTTCATGGCCATTTAGTTTTTCACAAGCTTAGCATTGGATTTACTCATTGTACGAGCGGAGGACACGCACGGACACCAAACAGTTTGCATCCGTTCAGATGCAAACTGTTTTGTACCAGTTCAAGTTCAAAGGTCAGATAGACCAAATTCAGTCTGAAATTCTTGTTAAACATTTCGGAACTCAGGTGCAACTTAAATTCTTCAGAGTTCACGCCAGACTTTGTCAAAGGTCGGTGTATCAGCTTGCTACTTGGGCCTTTTGTGATGTCACTGGCCCAAATACAAACAAAGAAAAAGAAGAGCTGCTGACCAGAGGTTTTTGTCTTCTATAATCTTTTGCAAACTTTTGCATTATCTGAAATCTTGCAACAAAAATCCATTACTCATCATGTAGCTGTGAATATACGTTTACATGGTTTTTTTTTTTATTTTGGTAGAGGGGGGATACATGATTATGTTGTTCCTTTAAATTTTTGGTACCACTTTACATTTTCATAGATGACTAATAAACAGCTTGTAGATATGTTAGTCATTCACTTTATAAATAATGAACAACTGTTTATTGTGCACTAATTAAGAATAAAAAGGATACTATATTTTTTTTAAATGTGTTTACAAGTTTTATTGGACTTATCTCCAGATACAGTTCAACTTCTCACCTTTAATTAAAGCCTGAGAGTTATTTGTGAGTTATAAAGTGTTTAGAAGTTAATTAATAACATATACATGAACTATTTGTTAGACATCTATAAGCAGAGACTTATTGCAAAGTGGTACCAACCGTTTAAATCCCACATCACATTAAAAAATAAAGTTGAGCCACAGGTGATGAATTTGTACAAGTTTCTGGCAAGAAATCTTTCACGCTAAAACACAGACAACAAATCATGTGACTGCATTAATGTAACAGAAAGGGGGAAAAAACAGCAATCGCTGTTGGCTACGTTATATCAGCAGGATTTCATAAGATTATGGGATTGTTTGGAACATCCTTATAAAGACAAATTTTGTTAGAAAAAGTTTAGCCTTTTTTGCCTACCATACTGCGTAGCGTATAGAGGTGGCAAAGCTGCATTAAGGTTATCAGCCATCATTGTTTTAATTTTTTTATTTATTTTTTCAAATGGAGGTTTTCACACAGGTTACACAGCACAATCAAAATGAAACCAGTAGCTGTTGGTTTATGGAAGGAAAAGCTTTCTATGCGTATATGACAAACAGTGCTGCTGCTACAAATACCGTCTGAGTCTGAAAATCTCGAGCTGCTCAGTCTGCCTCAACAGCTGCCTGACAACCTGGCAGCTCTGACGCGGCTCTCATGTTTGTTTCATGACAGCAGATCAGATTTATCCTCCTCTTCTCGGAACCACCTTTAACCGAGTGCAAGGCCCCGAACCGGGCGAGTAGGGGACAGGGGGAGGGAAGTGCCAAAACCTGACAATTCCTCATTGACTCTTGAGCTGACCCAGAGGAAACAAGCCGCTTGAGTCATCCGTTCTTCTGTCTCTCCTGTCATTTCAGCATTTTTTTTTTCCTTTGGGAGGCGGATAATTGCTTAAAGAAAAGCATATCATGTCTGATTGTTTACATCTTATATAATCCCAAACATCCACGGGCAGAGGAAGAACAATCTGTAATCCTCAAACAGCTGACGCGCTGCTGTGAAAGACACCGGCTGCACTTATGTCATTTTCATAGCTTATCCATCGTTTATCTTTATTGCAGAACAATGATCGTGCTGGGGGGAAAAAATAGACTGCTGATAAAATGTATTCAGAAGCAGAACATGGCTGAATTTCACTGTCCCAAAAATAAATAAATAAATAAGTAAGGAAAAATGTGTGAAGGGAAGAAGGGAATCTTCAGATTCGGTTTCCTACATATGAATGTTTTCTTACACAACAACGTGGCCTTTTGCTGGTGCGTGAGCCAATGCTCGCCCGTGTGTGTGTGTGTGTGTGTGTGAGTGAGTGAGTGAGTGATACTTTAACCCGGCAATCTGACAGCGGGATTTCCTACAAGCAACTGTAGTGCGTGGGCTGCTGTGTTGAGCAGAGATGCGCGGGGTCATGTGTGGATGCGTGGGATGCAATGTACAGTATGGTGTTCTAAGTATATTCACTGGCACAGCATAGACTAAGACGAGTGCTGGTGATCAACACTTTGAAGGAAAGCGAGAACTGTTTCAGATTCCGCTTATAGAAAGAGCACGCCGGTGTGTCCTGGTAGCAACGAGGCTTTTAATCTGGAATGTGCCTGAGAGCAGGGGCCCTGTGCACACCCAGGAGATTATTTGAAGTTTAGCTGCAGTTTGAACGTAATGGCTGGCTGCCACCTAGTGGAGAAAGCGTGGTCCTCAAATGGCAAGCTTAAAACTTTCTAATTTAAAAAAAAAAATGGCAGCAAGAGGATGTTTTTTTTTTTTTTTTTTTTTTTTTTACAAGTTCGTTCAATTACCTATGCTAGACTTTCACTTGACAGTTTTAGAGCTGCAGAAAACATTGAGTTAATTGGTAAAATAAATAAATAAAAAATTCCCGAGGGATCGCAAAGGCAGCAGTTGCTATGACAACGGTACACAAAGTCTGCTGCACAACTCGATCTTGGTGTCGAGTTTCTCCTTTGTTTCTTTGCTTGGGAGCCGCGTCATGGCGGGTCTTCTGTTTATTAACGACGCACTGAAGTCGTGCTTGAAGTAGCTCTCATTCTCATATCTGCGGAACAGCTGCTCCTTCCTGCTGGTTTTTGTCGAGAGACATTTTTTTCCCTCCCTAGGTAAAAGTTTGGAGTATCTTTCAAATTATAAAAGTTTTCTTTCCTGTTTCTAAGTAATAATAACAAGAAGGTTGAGTTTTGCGAGCTTATTCCGTTTGGTTTGCTTTTTTTCTGAAGTCACGGAAAACACGGAAGTAGCTGACAGAGCAACCGGTTGCCATGCCAACAGCACGCAAGTCCTTCTAGAATCCTCGAGGTGAATTCTTCTGGGTTTTTAAAGTCATGAAACCCGACCTGGTCACGCGGTAGGACGGCTTTTTGTTGTTTGCATCAAGCGTAAGACGTGTTCTTAATATTGTTTTTTTTTTTTTTTTTTTTTTTTCTGTTTGTTCTTCAGGAAAAAGCGACAAATTTAGTCTGGCCTATAGTTAGCTTAGCTTGTACCGTTAGCTGTTTTAGGCAAGAAACGATATAAACCTACTTCAAATTGCTAGCCATTTTATTTTTTTCTGTTTTGCTTTTTGTCACATTTAAATGTTCTGGTCATATAATTGATTTAAAGTTTTCAAAAAATCTTTTTTTTTTTTTTTTTTAACAAAAACATGTGAAAATTGATTGCCAGTTGGCAATTGACTGCATATTCAATTGACTGAATGACAGGAAATTCATCCTGTTGTAATCTTTTTAATTATAATGGTTTATCATCAGCTCTGCGTTGTGTGAATGCGGGACCAGGAGACAGGATGAGACAAAATGTGGTTTATGTGTATGAAACAGAATATAAAATAATAAGAAACAGTACAAAAACGATAGGCCTTCGCAGCGCTTAGCTGCTCGGGCCTAATAATCAGGGACCAGCTTCGTCATCTGGCGTCCATCTCTCATTAACTGGCAACGAGATGTTTGTGTTCACTATATTTAACGCTGCCAATCACCAGGAGGGGGCGTTGTTTCACCCATTACACAGGAACCCAAACTTAGAAGTGATGAAAAGTGGAATTCTATACAACATTAACTATGTCATACTGTCATAACTTATGATTAACAAGTTAACAAGTTACTTGTGATTAACGAACATTTTTGGAAAAACCAAGTTCAGCTTCACTGCTAGACCTGATGAATAAAAGTAATCTGATCTTAGGATATTTAAGAATGGATGAGAAATTAGATTATTTATCATTCAGGAAACAATATCTCAAAGCCCAGGGCACTTGAGATAGTGAGAGGTATTTTGTAGATTTAAGACAAAAATATTTAAATATGAGCTTCGCTACATCAAACACATAACATGGAGCAAAGTTATTCTTTTCAGGCATCCATCCACTTTGCAACCAACAAAAAACATCAAATCAAAAGGCTGCAAGGAGACAAACTCTAAAGAAAAAATTATACAAAAAACATCAATACAAAACAATCTCAATAATGCTTTGACGAATGCCAACGCTCGACCTTTGATTTTTCTATCTTTTGTATTATGTGTCTATTTTACGGCAGGATAAAAGGGGAGAGATGGTGAGGCTCTGGACAACAGGAATAAAAATGTCTTCACCACATCCCTGTACGTTTCTGGTAGGATGCCGAGCTTCCACACTTACAGTACACCAGCTCACCCAATGTGCCGTTGTAACATTTGTGTTTTCAGCTGACGCTGCAGACCGGGCTTTGGTCTCAGAGGCTGACGTTGCTGCTAAGTTACAAAAATCAGGTATAAAATGACAAATCTCCAGTGAAAAAAGGTGAGATAATTAAACTCCTATTAGCATATGTATTCTTTTTTTTCTGCATTGCTGTGTGCAGAAATGAGGAGAAGGAGGGCACAGCAGAGCCCATATGAAGTGCCAATCAACAAGACGGTTTTTGCAGAGGAAACGGCAAACCGTAGAGAGGTCTGTGTGCTTTGTCACAGCTGTTTTCACAATCGCAACTTTCTCTAGAGCGCTCCTGCGCTTCCTCGTTCACGGCAAAACAAAATTCAATCTCTTTGTGCCGAAGTCATGCTTCTCGCCACCCCTAACCCTATTCTATTTTATTTTATTTATTTATTTATTTATTTATTTTTGGGTTCTCAGGAGATGCGAAAATTTCTGGCGCTACCAATTGAAGAAAAGGCAACCCACGCTGCCAGAGCGCTGGCCAAGCTGAAGAATGAGCTGGTGGGAGAACTGGAGGAGGAGGAGAGGGAGGAGGAAGACGAGAAGAAGAAAAGTCTGAAGCAAATCAGGAGTAAAGCAGCTTTCCCTAAACAAACGCCGAGCGCACACGAGCTGAAAATTACCACGGCGAAAGGAGGTAACGCGAGGAAAGGGTGGGGAAGTTCAGCTTTTACACAATGTCAATCAGTTGGGGGTGTATCTATTAACGCCCGTAATAAAATTGTGTAAAGGGCCTTAAAAAAACCAAAAAAAGTATTTTTTTTAATGGTGGTAGCATAATCTTTCATGGAAAATTTTAGGAAAATACAGAGTTTTATTCAGTGGGAGAGAAAAGATTCCATGTCATGAAACGTTTGTTTCTAACAAAACAATAACCTGAGGTGCGATTACTGGAACAATAACAATGTAACGATTTAGTTATCACATGATAAATGTAAATCCCGTTTATTGTCATCACATTCCGGCCACTAGACAATTTAAAGTACTTTCCATGACAGTAGCATAAAACGTTTCACTGCAGTGACATCATAAATGAAAGTAAAAAAAAAAAAAAAGTGGGAATATGGACTACAATCGAAGATCTTCCAGTTATTATTAACCAGAAGCAATTCTAAACAAATAGGTTTCGATTTAAAGGACCTCTGTGTTCTGGTAGTTTGAGAGTTTTCTGGGAGTTTATTCCAGATTGGAGGAGCAGGAAAGCCTCCACATTTGGTTCTGATTCTAGACCTGAACCAACAGCAGCAGAACTTTAATGTATTTTGGTGCTAAGCCAAGATCTTGCTGGGGACTCAGTTCAAGTTTTAACTCCTGAAATGTTTCTGAAAGGCTTGAGTCCATCTTTAGTACTGATCAGATTTTATGTCTGATCAGTAGCTTCTGGCTATAACAGCTGTTATATCAAGACAGATAAAGAGATGTCAAGAGAAGTAGTCAAAGATCCACCTCTCAGGTCTTTGTTTAGGAGCTTGTCATGCATCTCAACAAATGTGTCCACATTTGTCAAAAGTGCCATTTTTTGACATCGTGCAGAACTCAGCCGTTGTGTTTTCCTCTCTCCACAGAGAAACTCACAAAAGAAAGCAGGCATGAATTACTCCTCATGGAACGGCAACAAGCAGTCTTGGAGGTGAATTGTTCAGACGGTGGAATGGATTTGGACTCGCAGTCAGTCTGTCTAAATGCAGCGCCAAACAAAAACCATTCGTATTTTAGTTTTAATTAAGGGAACCTTCTAAAGTAAACAGTGAAATCTCAGGAAGACTTCAGATTTGCCTTGATAACAGAGGCAGGTGGTGTCTTTCTTTTTTTGTTGTTGTTTTTTTTAGTTGTCTCTGATAACTAAACGCTCCGAGATCCTGAAGATGGAGAAGGCCGTTGCAAAAGAGGAAAGAAAGGTGAAACAACTCGAGAAGCTCATCAAAAGGGACAGCCAGAAGTTTGAAGCGTTCCTCCGGGAGAACGAGAGGAAGTCAGTGGAAGCCAGAGCTCTGTGGGTGTCACTGCGGACGTCTTCACGTTGGGACAACAAGATGTTGTTTTGGGATATTGCTCTAACAAACACGCACGTCTGCATGCTTTCAGTTTTGAACGGGAGGAAAAATCTAAACAGGAGAAGAATGCCGCCATGAAGAAGCTGACCGCTGAAATGAGGACCATTCAAAGGTAGTGGTGTCGCATTTTGGTCCTTCACCTCTGACCTGCTTCGCTCCATGAACAGTGTTAGTTTAGCTCATATATGATTAACAAAACAAAACAGCGTTAAGAGGGGAAACACAAATCCACCTCACACTTTGTTGACGTCAAGCTTCTGGTTATGAAGTGGCAAAATTCAGAAAAGTCCGTCGAGTAGGAACACTTGTATGTTATGTGGCATCATTTAATGTGCTTTTTAAAAAGGACTATTATTGTTTCACAGTGAGCTTGAGCAGTATGAAGATGCTCTGGCAGACTACCTGAAATACAAGGACTTCCTGTTCAGACTTTCTCCCCCAGAGTGGCAGGACAAGCAGAAGAGCAAAGACTCAAAGACTAAAACGTCGTCCGAACAGAATGATGGCCAGGAACCGACTGAAACCGGTATTTGGAATAACAATTTAGCGTCGCTCTGGTCGGCTGTGAATCCAATTGTTTCTGCTCGCCAGATGCATTTCGCTGATTAAAAGCAATCATTTGTTTGTGTGTCTCCTGTTTGCCTTTCCGCAGGTTTGGAGAGGAAGCTTCCCCCTGTCAGGGCGACCAGGTTGTCCTCTGCTCAAAGTGACACCCTGTAACAGCACTCACACACACTGCTAACCATCTGCGCTCTGTGCTGTACGCCAGAACGCTGTGGTGAAGTCACTGGATGCATTTAAGTTTTCACTGTTTCACACGGCAAGGTGTCTGCGTGTCCTCAAAGAGTCTTTTAAAAAGTCTTAAATTCATGCGGCTAACATGAAGGCCTTAAAATGTCTTTGATGGATTTTTAAAATGGCCTTTAATAAGTTGATCACAAGTCTTACATTTTGTGATGGCAGGATTAGTCAGTCTGGTTATTCTATGTACTTTATTGTTCGGCAAAAGACATTTTCATCGCGTTTTGCGGCTCGATGTGGTTGAGGCTACTGCCGAAATGCTGCCAGTTCACGCTTGCTAGCTAGCCAGCTAGCATCACTACATCTATCATGGGTACCTGCAAATTTATTGGTGGCTGACAGGACGATGTTTGTCTTCACCACTGGCATCACATCTGTTACCAAGGAGATGTTACAAACATTACCGTATTTTTTGGACTATAAGCCTCTGCTGTTTTCCCGTGTTTTGCTCCATGCGGCTCATAGGCCGGTGCGGCAACAGAATCTTGAATCAGATTTTATTTAACCTTTTATTTAACTGCACATGTTGTCATTAAATATTGGCAGTAGGTTTAACACTACATTGTATTTGTAGATATGTTGTTTACCATTCCCCAACTTTACAATTAAAACAGGTGAATTCTGGACATGCGTTTTCTTGTGTGCAGCTCCCTCTTGTGGCTGAAAATTGGGAATACGATTTATGAAACGTATCCATTTAAAACTCTGTCTTTATGTGTTTCAGAGAGAAAACGTGTCCACTGGATTATGACAGCTTAGAGGTCAGTTTCCCTTCATACCTTTTGGAGTGTTTATCTGCAGTTTTCACCTTTGCCGTCCCTCCTCCACTCAGGACGAGCCGGAGCTTTACTTCACCGATCCCCAGCAGCTACTGGACCTGATGTCAGAGCTGACGGAGCAGAACCTGTCCCTGATTCAGAACTCTGCGAGGGTGGGGGAGATGCTGGCCAAACTCCGGCAGACCGTGGACACAACCAGGAGGAAGATGTGAGTGGAGCCTGCGCCATTTTCTCTCCTCTTCCATCATTTAAACCATTCGCTAAGTGTAGATTGCTGCATGTGTGAAGTGAAAACGAGGAGGAGAAGATAACCCTGCAGATTAAAGAGCTGAACCAGAAACTCGACAAAGAGAAGGCGAGAGGCGCGAAGCTCGAACAGATGGTGCAGCTTCATGTTTCATTGAGCTCACGGGACCAAGTAAGGACACCAAATATGCATATCTGACCCCTTTTCTGGAGAGTCTGCACTCATATTTGCATGCATATTTCAGGGTGATAGAGCTCTGAAGAATGAGAAAGTACCAAAACGAAAATGGAACAGGGGAGTTTTCTGTTCTGTTTTAGGGGAAAACATAATAATTTCTTCTTTCTGATAGATGTAGGTCTGATCCGGAGCAGTTTTAAAGTCCAGCAAAATTAAGAAAAACAGAAAATGTTTCTTCTCTTATTTTTAAAATTTTGTGTGCATTTGGTAGGTTTTCAGTAAAACATAGAAGCTTATTTTATTTAAATGATTCCTTAGTGTTGTTCAAAAACAACTGGTTCCACTATTTGGTTATTTCACTTCTAACAAGACATTTTTCCAGTGTTACAAGTGAAATAATGCATCACAACAGTGAATACTTTTTCATCAACGTTAAAGAATTAAAATAAGCTTCTACATCTTGCTGAAAAGCCACTTGTACTTTTTTGTCTCATTTCAAACGCATTAAAATATTTGCACCAGAAATTAGAGCAAACATACTTTGTCAGATTTTGTGTTTTTGTAGTGAAAACAAAAAGCACACGTTTTTTCAAAAAACAAGTAAAATACTTAAACTCTTGGCGTTTGTCTTCGATGTCCAGGACGAAATGTTGGACGCTCTCGACGAAAAGGTGACAGAGGTTTACAGCGGCTGTGTGGAGGACGGGATCGCCGACCTCAGCACCTTGCAGAAGGTGGCAGAAATCGAGAGCCGCGTCTTCTCGCTGCTGCAGGGCCTTGAAGGCGTGCCAGCAGAGAGACTGGCGGCGGTCAAGAAGGTCAAGGACAGCGAGAAGAGGAGCAGGTATCGCTGAGGAGACGATGTGTAATGAGACGGGCAGTCCAAGGGTTTATTTAGCCCCTCTGTCCTCACACTGTGACCCAGGATGCGGGAGGAAAAGCTGATGGAGCAGAGAGAGAAACAAGAGGAACGGATGAGGAGGTATCTGGAGAGATCCTTGGCCGACTCCAAGAAAATTGTACGTCTGATTCCTCTAATTAGTCAGAATCACTGCAGCCACCTGAAAATCCACATTCAGATCATTTTAGAAGGTGGCGGTTTTTGTTCTTTTTTTCCCAGAGTGGGAAGAAGCTCATGCCGAGATGCATGCCTGCTGTGAAGAAAGCTGCGGTCGCCGATGTGGACAGCAAGCCCACCCAGGATGACGTCAACGATTACCTCTTTGGCTTGGATGACACGGAGTGACAGAGGCAACAGGAAGTAATGCGGAGGAATTATTTTTACTGCACCAGAGAAACACTGTCTTTTTGTTTGTTTCTTTTTTAGAAAATGCTATCCGTCAGATTCTTTTAATGTTTTGTATCTTGCAAATCTGTCCTTTACTGTTAGGATTTTACGTTTGTTGCCAAACTTTAAAGCTGTGCTAGAAACCAAAAGGTTTAGAAATCATGCTGAATATCATTAGCACTGTTGCAGCAGGTGTTATTTGTCGCAACACCTCACTGTAAATCTGTAAGAAATGTTTCTTTTCATTTTAGCAACAAAAACTAAACAGAGCGCCATGTTGAAATTTACTGCAGCTGTTTTTCTCTTCTATTTTTTTATGTTGCCTCAGACATGGTGGCGTGATCAATTTTGATCACCGTTTCATCTATATAAATATCATTCTTGAAGTTGGCTGTTCTGCAAACTTCTTGCTGCTGTTTTCTCCTGAAATCTCCTGGTGTTTTCTGGCTTCCTGCTCAGCAGCAGTTTTCCTGCCTGCCTTTCTCCGTTTCTTATTTCTTTGCAGAAACCTTCTCATCTTCCGTAACTTGAAGTTCAAGGATCACAGTTTCACTTTGCTTAATCTCTCATTTTTCATGGTGGCTGTTTGATTCTCCACTGTTTGTGTTGTTGAAACTTGTTGGTCAGTTTTCTTCAGAAGCCTTCGGATCACGGAGGGTTTCGAGCTCAGAGAAATATTTCATTGCCACAAGTTCAGAAACTCTTTCAAACTTGTAGATGAAGATATTTGATCAGCGTGACCAGCTTAAACACAATTGATGTCACAATATGGATTATTCTTACTTTATTGTCGTTGCTCAAAGAAACATAAGTAAAATTGGCAATGAAATATCATGGCTTGGCCACCGGAGATGCGTCTCTGGTGCAGAAACGCATTGAAAATGTCAGTGATCAGCCTTGGTGGAACGCTGTAAGCTTCATAAGCAAGTTTTTTCATGCGACACAAGGAGAAAGTTCAATTTCAGTTAGAAATATTGTGTAGGAAAATACATTTCCTCTGGTTATCTCCAGAAAAACAAAGATGACATGACGGAGAAAAACAAAACAAGATGCAGATACGACTGAGATCACTGCAAGTTTGCTAGATTTGAATTGTTTAAATTATTGGATTGAAATTTTCTGTTGACGTATGTATTGATGACAGGTTGAAAAATGAATAAATTGTGATATCAAGTTTGAAGCTAAATGTTTATCATACGAGTCACAAAGGGAACGGATGTAAAAATAAAATGATTCTAGCTTCTCAATATAGAACAATGCATTTACTTACTTGGCAATATTTTTGACACGCGTAAGAAACAGTAGATATTACATAGTTCATACAGCCACTATGAGCATAAGCTGATACATTTGAATTTTAGGTTATTTTTAAAGAAATTCTCAAGCCATCGGATTATTTCATTCTTTTAAATCTTGAGGTACAGTAATTAAATAACACCATAATCAAAAGCCATGTGATGCCAGAAGACAAAGAGCTATGTACATTATCAAAAGTGCACCGTGTTAAAAAAATAATAATAATGGTGGCCACACTGAACATCCCATTGGTAGGGAAAGAAACAGGAAGCTTTCAATCAGGTTCACAGCCAGCAGGAGGGAAAAATATCCTTTCATTAATCACAAATGCTTTAAAATAGCTATTAACTACCAGCAATATTAATCAATATTCATTCTTTTGATATCATCTGAACACACACTTTAGAAGGTGCTGTTGCACTGTGTGATTAAGCAAATGTAAATATTCACACTGCATCGGTTTAGCCCAAACTGTTTACTTTAGTAGTTTAAATCAGGCTCAGACTCTCGGCTCACTCATCTGCAGTCAAAGATGGATGCTACTGACGCCTGCAGGAACCGCACGTTTCTTTTGACATCAAAAAAAAAAAAAGGAAAAAAATTACACTTGGCATTCTTCTCTTTTTCTTGCAGTTCATCAGTCTGAGTGGATTATTTACACAGACACAGGTGCAAGACAAAGATCACAACCCGACACGTCAGGCCCAACGAGTGCAGGAGACGGGATGGATGTACCAGACGGACGGCAGGACAAGATTTATTCTCCCACATCAGGCCACTGTTTAGAAATGTGGGCGTAAAAGTTGGGACTCCTGGTCCTGAAGGCAAATAAATGTGCAGGTTTGTAGCGTGAGGGCGACAGAGCGGGTCGGAGGAGGAGGAGACGAAGCATGCGTCTCCCGGCGACGTTAGAAGGGGGCAGAGGGTGGAGAAGAGCGCTGCATGTCTGTTCGTCCATTGGCATTTGAAGTTAAAACAGGTCTTTCTCCTCCTCTTCCTCGGCCTCCCGCTTTTCATCCCCCACTCCCGTCTTATTTCTTGACGCAGGACGGCCAGCTGAGGCCTCCACAGGAAGCGGACACGATGATGTAGAGGATCACCTGGAGGGAGCAGAGAGAGTTCACCGACCGCTACGATCATCTGATCAGCTCTGATAGCACTTACACAACGAGAGCCTTCAGAAAGATCGATCTTAAAAAAACAAATAAAAGGGTTTAAGTTTCTGCTGAGACAGGTCAGCTGCTACAGAGGAGCATTCTGGGTACTCACCAGAGCAACCAGCACGACGACAACCGTCAGTTTGAGGTTCTTCATGCACATGGCTCGTGCGAGGTTACGACTCGTGGTTTTGAACGTGACCGACTGGTGGAGCAGCAGATGGAAAGACAATTACTCACGTGTGCACAGTGAAAGAAAAGATTGTTTTCAGAAGCATTTCACAGATAAAAAACATGAAACACTTTTATGCTGGAGAACCAACACTGCACATAATTTCTGGTGAAAACAGAAGCCTTGAATGGAATGGGAGACCTCTGACTGGACCTTATTTATGTGTTGTAGTGGCTCAGTCAAAGTCCAGCTCTAAAGCCAACTGAGAATCTGTGGTTAAGTCTGAACATGGATCTAAATCAAATCTTAAGTTTCAGGTATTTTACAACCACAAATGGACCAAAATGTTAGTTTCTTAAAGTGCAAACCCAGAAGATTTTAATCGTAAAAAGATTTAATGGTAGCAAAACCTGCTTCTATTCAGCATTGAAGCAGAGCGACTGAATGCGAATTGACAGCACACTTTTCACATTTTTCTCTGTTAAAAGGTTTGGAGAACATTTATAATGTCTCCTCCCCTACACAAATATCCACGACTTTATGCTGGCTTATGACTTAAAACCTCAATGAAACACATTGAGGTTTCATTGAGGGTCAATTGTATACAATCTTTACAACTCAATACTATTCATAAAGCGGAAATATATATATAGGGCAACCACAAGTCAATGTCTGCATTTTAAAACTCACTGAATCAACCAGACTTTCTGTCTTGTCAATCAGCAACTCCAGCTTCTCTCCCCTCTGAGCGACCAGGTCTGTAAAAAGCACACAGAGCCGAGGGTAAATAAAAACACGCAACGACGTGAGGCTGGAAGAACCCGTCAAATGTTTCCTGCAGTTTCATGTGTTACGATGTCGGCTTGGAGCTTTTACTTCAAGCAGACGCCAGCGCTGCCCTGGCAGAGCATCAGGGGACAACACACTGCTCCAAGCAGGAGGATTTGATCAGGTTAAGGGATTATTAAGAGGTAAGAATTCACATATCATTTCTGTCACAAGAATGTTTGGGTGGCATCTTGACTGAACATGGAGTAATGTCCTAACAGAAACAAACTTGTAGACTGTTTGTATTTTTTTTCTAAAACAGTTTTGGCCACATAAACTACCAACGTAGCTTACACTTATTGCAAAACTAAGGAAATTCCCAGAACTTATTAAAAATCACTATCGATAATAACTTTTTCTATAAGCCTACAGAGCTGCTTACCTATGTCACGGACCATAATACCCTTTAGGTCGTCAACTTGCATCTGAGTCTCAGTCACTCGATCCGTCCCCCGTGGGTCTGAGTGGTGCTTCTGCAAAACACAGAGTTGTTTTATTTTTTTACAGAAATAGTCATGAACCCTATGAGTGTTTAACAAGCTGGAGGCATCCACCCTAAAGCCCGAAGAGATATTTTATTAACAGATATCGAACGTCTTGGATAAGAAGCCCATAGGACGTTATCAGTGCAATATTTTAATGAGACGTCATCTGCTGAGCTGGGAAAACATGACAACGTTCGCAAATTTCCTTCTGGTTTCGTCTGGCATAAAATACCAGCGGGTCTTTTAAATTATTTTCTGCAAACTTAAAACTATGGCTCCCAGATAAGCAAATGTGCAGTCACTGATCCTGTGATTCTTATATTCATGCTGCTTCTTTTTATTTTTTTTATTTGATTTAATAAAGAGAGTCTAGAGTTTATGGGGTAGAAGTCAAGAAGTTCATAAGTAATTCTTCCTTCTCCTTTTCGAGCATTTTAAGATGATTGTGGTACAGAAATATGCGTCTTCTGCATTTCTTGTGCATGTGTGTGATTTTATACTTCTATCATGTTGGAAATGAATGGATAAATCTTCTTCTTTGAAATAAATCAACAACCAAAGACGCACAGAAAGAACACCCGAACACCTAAACAAGTCACAAAGCGACTCTCGCAAAAAAAATGTTTCGCCTGCATACGCAGATTTCCATGGGAGTTGCAATAGAAATTTCGTTGAATCCTGTTCAATGACAATAAATGCTATTCTATTCTATTCTATCTACTCACCATCTGGGCTGCAAGTGTAGAGGAGAATTCACTGTTCATGGCGTACGGCAGAGCGGTTTGCGCTCGGGACCCGTATGTGGTCTGGAAGCGCTTCTTGACTTCACCGAGGAAGCCGAACGCACGTGATCTTTCAAAGTCCTGGCGCGCGAAAGAGGTAAACATGAAAAGATACGGTAAAGTTACTTAAAGATGATGTTGCTGTTAATGTAGTGTTAATGTATACATGTAAAAAAAAAAAAACTACGCTGACAATCACATCATCATTCTAGAAGAAAAAAGAAAAATACATAATCCCAGAGTCCTACGGGATTAAGTGCATCTTTTTGTTGTTATAATTAAAGATAGGAGACACTCACATCATCTGTGATGCAGAGGTAGATGATTCTGTCATGGCAGATGTAATGAAAGAGATAACTAGAGGGGAAAAAGAACAGGTTAGCCTTCACTTCTGCAACTGTGTTGATGACACACAGGAATACACTTCAAATCAGACAGCATGTAAACACCTCTGCAGCTCCAGACCCGACGGAGCCAAGGCTGCGACACGCAGCGAGTGTCAGCTCACCTGCCGTGACTGTAGGTCAGTTTGTTGTTCTCTGAGGGAATTTTGGCCAAAATCTGCTCGGTGACTTCCAGGAAATTCCCGCCGCACCACGCGTGCTTCGCCAGGATCGTGGTTCCACGAGCCACGACAGCGAAAAGGATTGCCATGGCAACAGCTGGGTTCTTTTGTAGTGCTGCTGTCTGCAAACACAAACAGTTGGTAAGAGATGAAAAGATTTTAAAAAATGAACAAGAAAGGACTGAAGAGTATGTATATATTGTTTTAAAATAAAAAGGCACGTCCGACTGTGCTCTCCGAGAGCATAAAAATGTAAGCAGAGTTCACCTCTGAGCTTGTTACCACCGCCTCGTCTGTACAACCAGGATAATGACGAGAATTAAAACCAAAAGCTGATAACGACAGCAGGAAAGCACCGAGCGTTGCTGTCGTTTAGCAGCATACAGAGCGGCGTTTAGGTGGAAATGAGCGGTTTTAACAAATTGTCATTCCTTCCACAGACAGGAATAACGCAACTATCAGAGACACACGTTACCTCTTTGTGTCAGTTATAGCTAAAGTCCCCCGTTTGGCTCCAATTTCCACATCTGAAAGCGTTTCAGCTGCTAGCACGCTAGCTAATCTCTTTCGAGTGACTTCTGCTTCGCAAATTCGCAACACCGGAAACTCGTTCTTGGTATCCCCGGGAAATGTAGTTTCTGCTCCCCCTTCAGCCTCGCGCTGTTAGCGCATGTACGTCCTCCGTTTAAACTACAAATTCCTAGGCAACGCGTGACGTCGTTGAAATCGTCACATTTTTCCACATGCGCAGACGTTGTGACGGGCCAGCGCAGACGTTGTGACGGGCCAGAACGCAGGAGTTGATTTGTATTATGTCTCAGGCTGCTTCTCGTGTCCGAAAGTTTTCTACATTAAGAGAGAAGTACTGACAATAAAATCTAACGTTTGCTTAAAGATGTAGATTTAAGCAAACCCCAAAATGTAGCTAATAAACTTTAGCTACATTTCAGCTAAAGTTTATTGACAGTAAATAATCTTTTGACTGTTATTCCATCAATTTATGAAATTGTGCGAATCGAATTAATAGTTTAAAGTATTCATTAATGTATATGGATATTAAGTGAATAGACAAAGTAGTCAAAATGACATAAAAAAAAAAAAATATATATATATATATATATATATATATATATATATATATATATATATATATATATATATATATTTTGACAGTTAAACGAACCACAGTTTATTTCCACTTATCCTTCCAGGTTCGAGGATGTCTTGGTGCCTTTCTCCAGCATTCGAAAGATTTGATGAAATATGTGCTTATAAATTACAAACAGCTGGGTAAAATTATGCAATCTGTGACGTAAGACGCTCCTGATGCCACATTGACTTAAATTTTATTGAACGACACCAAAATGTACTAAGACGTTAGTTGTTTTGCTTTGTGTTTGTTGTTCCACAAAGTAAATTTTCAGCTTTTGCAGTTTCAAATAGACCACAATTTCCGCAGAAACATTCTTGTCTTAGCCACCAGGTGTCCATGTTGTAACATGAGATATTTACACAGAAAGATGTTTCACAGGTAGTTTCTTTTTCTTTATGTTGATATAACTTTTATATAAAGTACTTAAATACGTACCTAAGACGCTTTTAATCCGAAAAGTCCTGGTAACATGGCTGCTTAAAAAAAATACAGTAGCTTTCCTCTTGCTCACTAAAACCGCTCAGGTCGTCTTTTCAGTATACTGTCCGGTAGGTGGCAGTAATTGCACCTTGAGTTGGTTCACCAAAAGAAGAAGAAGTGGCAGCGCACGTTCTTTCTGCCTGTCAGACAAAGCCCAGGGCTGAAAGCCCGCAGGAGCATATTGACGGACGTAGTATCGAAGCATGGCCGGGGAAGGCGAAAAGAAACCGGTGCTCGAAATGGTGAGACGTAGTAAACTCTCATGTTATTCGGTGTTTCAGAAACACGTGAGCTTGTCGTGGTTAAACCCAACTCGGAGTCTCTCGTTGCATGTCGGGATTCAGTGTTAGCATCTTCTCAGCCGCCTGTTTTCCCCTCACGCGCGCAGCCGCACGAGCTAGCAAGCATGAAAACTGTCATTTCCCTTCAACTCCGAACAACTATGTCGCAGTTCTGGGCATTTCTACGTTAAACTGGATTTACCTAGCATCCAAGGAATGTGATAACACGTGTATTTGTTTTAGAGGCTTTTTTCCCCACTTTGGAGCAGCTTTTTCCCGCTTACTGTGTTTAATCAGTTGCTCTAGTTGCAATTGATTATATGCAGCCAGAGCCCGTCCTTCACTTATATGCTCAAATATGTCTAAATAAAACCCAAGTGCAACCAGTTGCTTGCATAGTCCACCTAATCAGGAAATACAATAGCATGAAGAAAGCTGCCATAATAAGTGACAGCAAACATATAAGTGTTTGCTGTGTTCTTTTGTGGTTTTTAATTTAACAATCACTTTACCTAGATATGTTGTTTAACTATTTCTAACCAGTTGGGGTATTACTACCAAAAGTTTTCTGTTGATGTTTGTTTATCCCTGTCTTGCTGTGACTGCGCAGCTGCTGGAGGTGCTGGCAGATCTTGTGACAGAAGTACAGAGAAAATATGGGAGCTCATCACTACCAACAAACAGACCAGGCAACGAAGGAGCCGGAGGCGCGAGTCGTAAAGTCGCAGTGTGTGGGTCACCAGACGCTGAGAAAACTGCAGCGTGTAATCGAGGTGTACATGTCCCAACGTGATGCGGTCACAAACAGCACTGCACCTCCTGCAGCTGATGAGAGTCCGCATTGTGCGACTTTGTTGCTAAGCGCATCCATTGTTGGTGACCGTGTACGGTCCTTTGTGTTCACACAGTGTGATGTGTAACATGACTTGTCCTCCTGCGAACAGGTCCAGGCTGACGGGGCCGATGACGGCTGCGTGACGTTTGTGATGCACGATGAGGACCACACGCTGGGCAACTCCCTCAGATACATGATCATGAAGAAGTCAGTGATGCAAGTTTGTTTGTTTTCTAAACCGCAGCTCTCATGTGAAAAGGGTCACAAGTTCAGCCTGTTTTTTTTTTCCCCTTTTGTGTTTTGCGCTAACCCTTCTAATAGAATCAGCTCTTGACATTTTGTGATTTGTTTAAGACTTTCCACTTGGCACGCCTCCTACGCAAAGCGGTGGTAAAAATCCTCCGTCTCACCTCCACCTTCCTGTTTTCGTCCGTCAGCCCGGAAGTGGAGTTCTGCGGCTACACCATCACGCATCCGTCGGAGAGCAAGATCAACTTCCGCATCCAGACGCGAGGTCAGCTTCAGTCCGTCCCAGAGCTTCACGCCTCATCTCGTCTCCACAGCCAAGCGAAAGTTTTAGAAGTTTGTCCAAATTTTGAACCACAAACTTCAATATATTTTAGTGGAATTTTACCTAAACACAATGAAGCAAAGTAAAAAGAAGAAAAAAAAATTCCTTGATTTAGTGACTTTTCAGACCAAAAAAAATTTTTATTGTCAGGTACTTTAGAGATCAGCAATCAGTCAGAAAACTGCAATTTAAAGTATTCAGAAATCATGTCTGGTTCTCCATTCAAATTGACAGAGCTTGTGGTATTTCTTGAAGTGTCGCATTTTTTAGTTAATATTCTGGTTTTACTAAGTAATAAATTCATTAATGTCAAGATTTAATATCTTACTGAGATAATTAAGGACCAAAACACTTAAAATAAGACAAAAACACTCCAACATAAAACCCTTCTAGTGAGATAAAAGTAAATTCATAGAACAGAAAACGAGCATAAATCTAAAATATTTCATCTTACTTAGATGTTTCTATGTAAGATCTTATTATCTACAATAACTTTGTGAAGAATCTGAGTTAATGTGAGTTAAGACATTTAACTTCCATTCAGGATCAATAAATTATTTTTGAATTTGAATTTTTGCAGCATACGCAATGAAGAAAGGGCAAGAACTCGAGTCCCTGTGTACGCCAAGTCAAGACCGATTCAGTCCTAAATATGTTGTTCCATCACTCGTAACAAAAGGATGTTACATAAAATATTGACCGAGTGGCTGATTCTAAATGCATGTCACGCTTTTTAGATTTGTGTGCAATATTTTTAAAAAGACGCAACCCCGTCTTTCCACCTTCCAGGTACGTTTATTTGCACACACGCAGCGACGCTGAGAGTTGCAGAGTAAACACGCTGATTGGAGTCTTGCGCCTTCACTTGGGTTACTCGATTGCGTAAGAGTGACCAGTGTTGAACTCAGTCATATACTGAACACACACACACACACACACCGTAGATGCAGAATCCCTTTAAAAACAATCTGTCTTGTCTCATCACATGGAAGTTCTCAACGAAGAAAACATCTTGTTATTGCAGCAGGTTCTTGGACTCAGAGGATCATCCCTCCATCCTAGTAAAACACAATTAGCTTCCAGGCAGTGTTTTCAGACATCGCTGCATAAAAGGCTGCTTCTTTTTTTATATTTGTCTATATATATCTGCTCTCTGCTGCAGCCTAAGGGAGAATGGATGAAAGTGATCTCTGTTGACAGGTAATCAATTGGATCGCTCCGTCTATTTACGTTCGTTCGACGAATCATTCAAACGGTGCGTGACCGTTCGCTCTGCCGTGAAGCTTTTCATCGTTTTGCCACAATTTGTTTATTTAGCGCATGAAATCTCTGACCTGTTCACAAACTCAACAGAAGCCTTTCGACCTGATTGCAACGTCCTTGAAGCCTCTTGGTTCAGTTTTGTTAGAGTTGTCGGCAGGTGTGGATGAGATGAGTTTAAATTTAAAAAATAGAAACAAACCAGTTTTTCTCTTCAGTATTTGATGTGTTAAATTTACAGTTGAAGGGGAAAAAAAATGACTCGAGAGTCGACGAGGCCGTGTATTGAAATTCAAATTTATTTACCTATTCTGGTCACTTTAACCTCTGCCATAAACGAGTTGAAAAAAAACAACAGAAATATTTGTATTTCTGTCACTGGTATAAGAGTGAAAATTGGACAAAGCACACAAAGTGTAGCTTTCTTTACCTTCGTTTTGTCCTACGTAAACTATCAAAATGAATATTTGATAATTTTCTAAAGCATTTCTCCAGTCTGTAGACAAACTGCTAAAGAAAACGGACAATCATAATCAAAGCTTGTGGTTTGTGTTTGACACCGTTTTGTTTTGTCCTCTGCTGGTTTCAGGAGGCGTTCCTGCAGTGGAGCCGCTGCGACGCGGCCTCAACGACCTGCATGACGTTTGCCAACATGTCCTCAACACCTTCCAGGTTCAGCCGGATCCCGTCTTTTGTTGAAATATCGTCTTACAAAGGAATATAACCGGTCATTTATGGGGAAAAAGCTTAATTATGCATCCATTGAAGCAGCCTGTTGCATGTAGGGCTAACACTAACGATTATTTTAGAAATTAATTATTCTGATGATTAATCAGATGAAATGATTTGCCACACTCATTTAAACCTCCTTTCTTTTTTTTTACGTAATATTAGAAATAAATCAGTAGGTGCAAATAATTCAATTTATTTTTAATAGGAAAATAAAAATGTTGCCTGAAATGCAACAACGTTGTGATTCTTTACTGCAGCTCAGTCAGTTGTAGCAAACGATGCATCTGCAACTAAACAAAAAAAATACTGTGATTATTTGTTGTTTGTTTTGAATTTTTTGGAGTAATGATAGAATAGCAAATGTACTTTATTTTTTATAGAATTTGGCCAACATGAAACTAAAACTTCCACCTGAGGAGTTCTGGGTAGAACAGATTTACAAAGTTTTCATTTTTTTGTCTTAAACAGAAAATGTCATTGCACATTTTGCACATTTTCACTTATTAACTGCTCTGAATGTGCTGTTCATTCAGCAAACAGACATTTTTTTGAGTCTTTATACTCCAGGTAACGAGTAATCAATGAATAAATTGACATTTATTTCTACAATTCATTTAATAATTTCAGACCTTTTTGCTTGCCTGTCTGCCTTTATAGTAACGAATAATTTAACTCCAGAAATTACGTAATGTGGAGTCTCTACACAAACTAACGCCGTATCACTATGATCAAGGAAGTGAAAAGGTTTCTCTTCAGCGTCATTAGGAAACGTTCTGACATGAGAGCGCTGCTGGAGCGCGGCCTGCAGATGGCCGTGACGCCACGTCAACTCCCAACACGCCAAAGTGTTGGGAGTTGTTTCAGTGTTTCTGTTTTTTTTCTGCTGCTCCAGCTTCACCAGTTGATTTAAAGCAGCTGCAGATGAAGGCTCCTCCTGGTCGAAGTTCTGTTAGCTCATTTGGCTCCGCCGCTGATTATCGTTTGAACGCTCCTGGCACAGAAAACCTCAAACTATGTGGCTGAGCTACGTCTGCTCCTGGTTCACCTGCTGAAACCTGAGAGCAGGTTGCAGATTTAATGTATTTTTTTTATCTATATTGTCTTTTTCTGAGCATTTGGCTCGGTGAATCCCGGCTCTACTTGTTGACTTGCTACCAAGGCTTTAAATGCACTTTAAAGTAACGGGAGAGATGGTCAGTCATTTCTCTGAGTCGGCTGTCAACAACGTCGATCCTCTGGAAAGGCCCATGGGGATTGTTGTGATCTCAGTCCCTTGGAAACAAAACAGAAAAGCGAGCTGGTCTGTACTGGTCTATACTGGTCTGTACTGGTCTCCAGCTTTGGCCTGCAAAGCGCCATTAATTCAGATGGTTACACAAAAATATCCATGTTTTTTACAACAAACATCATCGTATTGTATGAATATTTTATGGAACAAACTCTTTAAGTAGAGCATAATTCTGGACAGCGAGGAAAATGGATGCATTTTTTTTAAACAACTATCTGAAGGTTTTTTTTTTTTTCTTGTTTGTTTTTTTCTCCAGCCATCCCGTGAAGAACTTACCACTAGCTCTGTTCAGAAATCACTTGGTGAAAGGAATCCATGTTTTCAATCAAATTGTTGTAGTTTGAGGCTGGGATCAAAGCTTAGTCATATTTTAGAATGGCCTTGTCAAAGTCCATGCTTAAATCCAATTGAGAGTCTTTAATGAGACTGTAAAACATTAAGGAACCAGGTTTCTCCAACTCCATAAATCATTTTTGTTATCTCAGCTCAGTTATGTGGCTTTGCCGTTTCTTCTGTTATCCTGAGTGCAGACACACTGGTTGAGTTCAGTTTCTGTTTGCTCCCTTCTGCAACTGCCACTGCAAAAACTCAAGACAAACAGCACAGCTAAAACAACTTAACACATCAAGCAGACATAAGATAACATGTATATTAAATGTTTCTAACAACTTGTTTTTGTTGCATTACAGGCGAGAGTGGCTGAGTTTAAAGAAGGTCAGGAGCAACCTATGGAATAAACATCGCAACGGAAACCATAAAGACTCAACTTCACCAAACTCCTTTGTGCTGCAGAAGTGCGGGGAAGTTTTCATGTCTTAAATACTTGTACAGGTTTTTTTTTTTATGTAATTATGTAAGAGTCATAACACGTGTCAATGTTGCTTTTCATTCCCACGCTGCCTGGCTGGCGAGTAAAAACACTTGAAATGATAAAAACTTCCATCACTCGGGCGTCGGACTCGTTCTGGGACATTTCACTTCATGACTCGCGTAACGGTGTTTTTGAAATTCGCTCGGATTCGAACGTCTGAATCTCCTGATGGGAGCGAGGAAAAGTCTGGAAGCTGATATGTCCTTATTAGCGGAGGAATGCGGCGCCGGGCACTTCAAACTGAGCTGGAGGGACAGCAGGTCAAATGAGGGAGGAAGGAACAAAAGTGTGAATAATGAGCTTGAAGTTGGTCGAAGGTAATCGCGTCACATGTTCTGAATGTTTTAAAACAGAAACGACGACTCATTTAACGAAATAAATGGCTGCTGGAAGTTTTAAGAAGTTTACTGTGGCTGAAATTTTTCCAGAAATAAAGTGTCTATCTGACAGAACCATGTGAATAGATCAATATCATCATGTCTGTCGGCTAACGAAGCTGGAGCCAGCGCTGGAAAGCTTTATGTAAAACATCTGGAAAGGTGGGAAACTGATCCCATCAAGGTTTGTTAATAATTTATGTTAAATGTTTAATATGAAAAAAATCCTTTTGGAAGACTTTGAAGAGGTTTTTTTTTTCCCCTGAATTAAAAAAAATTCTTCTCCAACTCATTTTTTTTTAAGTTCATCCATCCATCATCTTCCGCTTGTCCAGGATCTGGTCGCTGGCGGTATAAAGGGCAGGAAGAATATCAGATTCCAAGTTGTTTAAGCAACAAATGCCTGCCAAGAAGTGAAAAATTTGACTTTTTTTTTATCAACAGTAACAGGGTAAAGTTGTTTAGTGCATCTGGAACTGAGTGGCCTTAAAGCAACAAAAGAAGAAATTAAAACCACATATTACAAGTTATAAAACTGTTTGCTTCTGTGTAGTTGAAACTGGACTCTTATTGGAGTGTTTATTCTACTACCGACAGCCAGAGATCGCTCTTTATGTCGATTAAATGTAGAAACACACAATCTGTCAGATATGTTGGAAAAATTTCTAAATGAGCAAAGTGACTGTCACTAAATCCAGTCTAAGTACTTTAAAATCACTTTCCAGAAAGGGATCTATCAAAGATACAAACTGTAAAAACAGAATGGTGCATGAAGCTCGAGTTAAAACTAAAAACGATAAAAATTGAGAACCTATCTCACCAAAACTACTCCAGTTCTAACAGGAACGGGCCAAAATGTGAGACATTACTTAGAATATTTGAACCAAGTCATACAGTTAAAGGAGGAAATATATTTAAGCGTCTGAATTTCATGTTGCAAAACTGTTTTCTTCTGCGTCATCCTGCAAATAGAAATAACCTGGGTGATCCTGTACAGTGATTGGATCGTGTGGTTTTGTGCAGTGTTCTTACACATCTGGTTTCAACTGTATTTATGTTTTTGGCATATGTGCATGCTGCTATCAAGGCCACTTTTCTTTTTTTAAAGCAGTTGTTCAGTCCACAGCAGGTAACGGGTTGGCGCTGATCAGCAATGAATTCTGTTTTATGTTGGAGAATAAGTCTTTGGTTTGAATAAATGATTTTGGGGGTTTGTTTTTGTTGCCATCGGGAGCCTGGAGTCGGTTAGACTGGCGCACATGATGACAGGACTCAAAAAGCCAGCGTTTGTTTTTCAAAAATAATAAAATCTTACTGATCCTGAAGGGTCTTTACAGTTAAATGTGCCAGACGTGCGAGAAAATGAAATTCTTAAACCTGTCCCAATTTCAAAACAACCCCAGTCGATCTGGGACAAGATTTATAGACGCCTGTCCAAGGAGCGGCTCGTCTGTCCCAGGGTTCAGATCTCTATGTGAAGTGACTGATGTAACTTTTTTTTTTTTTTTTTTTGGTGTCACAAATTTCAAGATTTAGTGCAAGTGGAATAAAGATCCACGTTTCGACTTATTCGAAACACATTGTTGTCCAGTGTTTCCTCTTGTTCTCATTGGTTTCTTTTTTTTTTTCTCTCCTTAATGCAACATTATTTGACCTCAGGGTAATTTATGGTCCACATCCAGTTGTGTGGGGTTTTTCAGATACTCCCGGGAGCCCCAAAAAAATATCTGTTTTCTGTCATGTCCAGCTTCAAAAGCAGCTTTTAGTTGGCAGCAAAAACTAAGGAATGAAATTGCACCTGATATATAAACTTCCTGTGTTGGTTTCCAGGAAGCAAAGGAGAAAACACAGAACCCCTAATTTGTCATTTGATCTCATGTAGAAGATTTTTTTTTAGATTTAATCTTGGATTCTCTCTTCACACAAGCTCCTTGGAATTCGCTACATGGAGTACGATGTCTGCTTGTCATGCAAAATCATTTTACACCCAGGAGATGGAGGACGATTGGACGTTTTTCTCGGATGACTCATGAAAATAGATGGGAACCAAATGTAAATTTCCCTTCAAATGAAAGAAACATGGAGCCCATTATAGGCTGTAAATGGCAGACGTGACAATAACGAGGTCACCGCCAGTGGTGGGAAGCGACGAAGTACAAATACTTCGTTACTGTACTTAAGTATAATTTTTGTGTATCTGTACTTTACTTAAGTAAATTTAATAATGGATACTTTCTTTTACTCCACAACATTTTACATTAAGTATCTGTACTTTCTACTTCACTACGTCTCTATGAAATTGTCGCATTACATCCAAGTCGCATTGTGCTTTTTTGTTTTTCTCATTAAAATGTGAACTTCATGGTCACATATTTAAGTCTAAACTACGGTACAGAAAGTAAACACGATAAAAACATGCTTTACCTGTGGCATTGTTCATTAAAATGCCACATTTCTGATGTATTAAGATTAAATACGACAGGTACTCTAAATGATATTGTATTGGAATTAAGGTAATGCATTCACTTTTACTTATAATACTTTAAAAGCCAGTACTTTTTTTTACTTTTACTCAAGTAAAAATGTTAATGTGGTACTTTTACTTTGTCTGTGTATTTGTACTTTTACTTAAGTACATTGTTTGAATACTTTCTCCACCACTGGTCACCGCTCCCGTCACTAAAACTATTTGACTACGACAATGGAAAATGGGATCCATGTTGAACATCTGGTCCATCATGTTACTCAAATACCAAACCAAATGCGGCATTGTGATTCATGACCGCTTTCTAAAATATTTCACGCTGGGGGTTTTTCAGCCAAGAGATTTCATCTGAAGGGATTAAAAATGACACCTTGTCATTTTATGCGACAGTCCACCGTAAAGCAGTAAATGATTAAAAAGTGGAACAAAATAAAAACAAGTGGTGCACGTTTGTACAACTGTTGATTCAATGTTTCACAAAACCACAGGAATAACAGCAGGCAAGCCTTTCTGAATATTATCTACTGTTTGTTCATTCTGGAGCGTGAACAAAACAAAAAGCCTGATCTCTGTCCGATTGGAAAAATAACGTGTTTAAATTTTGCCTCACACTGTAAAATGTATTTTGGTTTGGCCTTTGAGAAGGCCACTATGAAACATCAACATGCTTTTATCTTTAAACACAGGTCTGGCTGTAAAGATAGTTATTGAACATGAACCTACTTCCTCGTCTTAATGCGTTATTCACACCAACAAAGGGAACTTTGGGCCGCTTAAAACCTTCGGGATCCATGTTGGGGCTCGGTTCGGTTCGGTTCAAGTGAACTCCGGTGTGGTTCAAATGCGGATGTGTGAACGCCGAGCAGACTGGGTTACCGCTCAGGGCATTCTGAAACAGATACATAGCTTTGTTGATACCGCACAGCGACCTTTAGCCTCTTGGTCGTTTTTCTGATAAACCCTCAAAGGCCGCGTGAAAGCCACTGTAAATAAGTCAAACAACACACAGTATAAAATACTATTTATTAATGTATACCCTTAACAAAATAGTAATGTATGAATGTATTTAAATGACCAAGCCCTTTACAGTATTCACATATGTTTGTATGTCCAACCAATCATTCAGTAGCAAAGCTACTCTGAGCTTTGCTAGAGTAGCAAAAGCTTCACAGGCTTTCATTCATGAGGCTAAAAGCAAATATAAAAAGTTTCATGAATCACATTCTGCGTCAGCTACTGATTTAACTATGATGTAAAAAATAAAAAGACTTTCTGAAGGGTAAAGAAAACATGTCCAACAATGAACATGGAAATATATCAGCTCTATTTATAAAACAAACCAAAAGTGTCATTAAATGCATAATTTCATAAGTTTCTTAGAAACAAAGTGATAAAATGTTTATGAAGAAATGGACAAAAAACAACAAAACAACTTGATTAATGTTTTCAATGAAACCAAATATTTAGAACCCAAACGAAGAGACATTGCATTTTTTTAATGTCTGATGATTAAATATTTCCTGTTTGATGTCAGTTTGGATTTCCCAAAATCTTTCTGTTCCCTCAATACTAAAATAATATTTCTGTTAGTTTTTTTTAAATGACTTGAGACGTTCTCACCACAAAAACACCAAATGTCACCAAGTATTTGCGGTCCGGTTTCTAGAGCAAATATCTCAGTGCAAGTTCAAGAACACAAAACCAACACACAAGTAACTTTTCAGCAAGACATGGAAGCTTATTTTAAGTCATATAAGTCATATTTATATTAATATTGATACAAAAGTGCTAGTTTTGAGTGAAATAATCTGCCAATGGAACAAGAGATTTCTACTTATAACATGGAAAAATGTCATGTTCTACTGGCAGATTATTTCACTTTTAACTAGTCAAACAGACAAAGTCAAAGTTTTGAAGTGAAGAAATGTATGTAAACGTCCAAGTTTGAGGAAAGTACAAAAAAAAATACAAAAAAAAATCCTTAAAAGTTTTGGCATTTATCAGATAGAAATCATTTTGGTTATCTTAACTGACTTAAAACAGAAAATGTTGAATCCTGTTTAATGTGAGAAATAAAAAATAAACAGTTGAGGCAATAATAAACACCATCTCCAAAGACCTGGTTTCAACCATGTAAATGACAGACACCCAGATTCAAAAATGGATGACAAAGTCAGCAATCATGTCTTAGAAAAAAAACAAAAAAGAAGCCAAAGTTTTCCCAGAATCCCCCTGCTGTGAGGGGGACAGTGGGAAAATATTTGGTGCTTTTATGACCGTAATGCAGTTCAAGAATCTCCTAAAACGTCCAGTCAGCTGTATACACGATCATTTCTTAAATCTTTTAAATAGCGCAACATAATAACAAGTGGAGTTCCAGCAACAGGCATGTCTTTGCGTCTGAGGTGAAAGGCTTGCAGCAGGCGAAGCAGACGCCTCGCTGGGCGGGGGGCTCACACAAGCCGTTCATGTTCCTTGTGCTACATTCACAGAAAAATAGAAGCTACATTGTCACACGCGACACATGATAAGGATCATATGGTGTTTTTCTCCTGGACGACAGCAGCCCTTCTTGTGACTGAAAGCGGAGATAAGAAGGATTTCTGCTGAGCCAGTCTCCACATGACTGGGAGATTCACAGTAAGGGCCCCCGTTTATTTTTCTCTCTTTTTCTTGCCGGGAGATTCCGCGAACTTTGAGGGCGGACTGCGTCTTTTGCCAGCACTCTGGTCTTTGATGTCTCAGCGGCGGCGGCGGTGCCTCGGAGGTGCGGAGTCTCTCAAAGGCTCCGGTCCTTTGAGTCTCAAATGACTCTGCGTCACGGTTTCCCCTACGAGGTATTACAGCGTCACCAGAAGGGCTGATGGCTCAGCGCTCATTCATACTCCAAGCACTGCAGCTAAACATGGGCTAAAGTCTGTGTTCGACATGTAAATAATAACCCTGTACACACATTTACAAGTGGCTTGACCTAACTCTACTCAACCTGGCTCACTGAGAGGCTTACTTTCCTCGAACACATTCACGTAGCATCGGTTGGTGGCCTGAACAGGTGACAGTCCTGCAGTTTCATCCTCCAGCTTTGGGTTGATCGCCGAGTCTTTCAGTCTGCAGAAGAAAAACGAAACAAAAACCCTTCCGCCTGGCTCCTCCGTGTCCCACTCCTGACTCCAAAGTGATGGTGTGCGTGTTGGCAGTGACACAGCTGTTTCTCCGGGTGGGAAAGCAGATGGGGAATATCGGTCCGGTTTGGTTGGATTGGTTGGAGAGCGTGGAGAGAGAGAGAGAGAGCGTTTGTGCGTGTCTATGAAGAGCTTGTGTACTTCTGACTGGAGCGGGAGCTGGTGCGGTCCAGTCCGTTGCCATGGCAAGATCCCTTCCAGCGTCCTCCGGAGCAGCGGTCGTCCAGAGGAGACGTCCTGTAGCACCAGCAGCACAGGCAGGACTGCCAGGCAAAAACCAGAGCCGTCAGTAGAAGTATCGCGCTTCATAAACGTTTTCACTATCTTAACCAGAGTTGGCTGCTAACCAGGTTCTTTCACTAGAGCTCATTTATGAAAGTAAAAGTACTTTTAGGAGTAGTTTTACTGCACTGTCCTTTTTACTTGAGTAACTTTATCATGACGTATTGCTACTCTTGCTTCGCTGAATGAGGAACCAGTTCATTTTAACCATAAATTCGCCAGACGCCGACACACACCTGCAGTTTTTGTTGAAGTTTCATCTGTTTTATATTGTAACAAAATAACTTAGAAAAATCTCTCTTTTCTCTGATTGTTTGGTAATTGTGTTCTATGCGAGTTATTTTCACAAATATTACAATTTCAAAATAACTTTATATTTCAGTCCATCTGATGATGACATTTTTAACTGTTTGACAATAATAATTTGATCAGTGATTCAGCAGACTCTTTATCAAATACCGTTTCACTCTTATGTGAGTCATTTCTTGGACGCCTACGTTTTACTTTTCCTTGAGTAGATATGTTGACGTTGTGCTAATTTTTGGCTTCTCTATTCCTAACATTTCGTCACACAAACACAAACTGCAGTGTTTATAAGGTGTATCGTATCATTTATCATGATAAATTCCACTTCACGATAAAGACTTTTGATTTATAATAATCACCATAAATTCCTATTACTGAGGTTGAGTCACCACACTTTTTCAGATTTTAATTAGTAAAATCTTAAGTTTTATACAGATTTATAAATACTCTAGATTTTATACAGAGTAACCAAAAGTTGTATTACTGCAACATATTTTTACTCAGTCAAAAGTAGACGTCCAAGAAATGACTCAAGTAAGAGAAAAAGAAAATGTTGTATAATAAAGTTGCTGATTTTGATCCATCAGCAAGTGATGGATCAAAACATCAATAATTTAATATTTAAAAATTACATATTTAGATGGGCTGAAATATAAAGTTGTGTGGAAATTTTGGTATTTTAAAGTCCAAATGAAAATCATTTTTAAAAAAATCAGGTAAAAAAAAAATAAAAATTTTCCATTAGAAAACTTACCAAACTTCAACAGACACTGCAAGTGTGTGTCTGTGTCAGGTGAATTTTTGGCTTGTTGCAGAAATTTTACTCTTGTAAGTGTGGAAATACTTCATAAAAAATGAACTCAAATAAAAGTTAAAAGAACACTAATAATAATCCCGAAAGTACATTTTTTACAAACTGGGCTGCATCTGTTTCCAATGGCCTTTGTTTAAAGCCAAAACAATCCTCTTTACCTGGAAACAATTTTTAAACTTCTGGCTGACAAAGTAGAGGGCAATCGGGTTAATGCAGGAGTTTAGAGAGGCCATGTTGATCCCGATGTAATCCATCACCAGCAGGAAGCTGACAGGAGGAGGAAAAGAGCAGAGTTTACTGTAAAGACTCCAGGAAGCCCGACAAACGGGAGAACAATGGATTCTCACGAGGCTTTCTCTGCTTTCCTACCTGAGCAGCTCGCAGCGGTTGGGGTCGTTTTCGTCGTAGACGGTTTTCTTCAGAATGCGGCTGAGGTGGAGCGGCAGCCAGCAGAACGCGAAGATCAGCACCAGGCAGAACACCGTCTTCGCCACTTCCCTTCGCTGCACCGAACGCACACAGAGGAAGGTGAATGCAGGGCTTCAGCGGAGAACGCTTCCACTGCTTGAGAAAGCCCTGCAGGTCTTCATTTCTTTATTAACATAAAGTCCTCAAAGGCTAAAGCTGACAGCTAGTTAGGGCTAAAAATCTGAAATCTGTTCATGCAAACGGTATTTTGTAGGAGCGTAAATATGTGTTAGGGTTATTTTTGAGCTTTAAATCATCTTTATGCATGCAAACTGAAGACTTTTAGAAAACCAGTCACAAATAAAAGAAAGTACACCCTCCACCAGCATTATTATATCTCATTATTTAACAAAGACCCATTAAATTATTCATGTCTAACCTGAAGAGTGCAAAAACACAAAAACATTGGCATTATTTCAAAACGCAAAGCCAAAAGTAAAACCAGAGTGTTTTTACTGCTTTGCTGCCAAGTATATAAATCAACACTAATTAACTAACCATCATAAAGTATTCTGTCCCCACAAAGAGGAATCCCCTAATTTCACTTCTGATACCGATATCTGACGTTGAGTATCGACTGATACGATCCAATACAGAAAGACATTGCTGCATCGACTTGAAACCTTCCTTTTTTTTTTTTAAACGCGCACCTAAATGTATTAAACTGTAATTGTATTTGTTAACTCTGCATCAATTAAAAGTATGACGTCGCTCAGAGCACAGAGCATAGAACTAGATGGAATAGATCTGCCCTCTTGGACACACTCTAATGCCCGATCTGGTGCAATTATATCTTCTGAGCGCATAATATTCAGCTCAGCTGAACTCTGCTGTCAGGTTCTTTCTGTGTTTCGTTTTATCTTCCTGCACACCTGTTTCATGTGGTCGTTGAGCGCGATCCGCATGCCTTTCTTGCGACTGAGCATCTCGCAGGACATGAGCGTGTAGAAGACCCCCGTGCAGGCCAGAGGGAGGCAGAAGTAGAAGCCAAACAACCACCAATCTTTAGCTTCCTGGTACAGCTGGCAGAAACACACACACACACAATTAGTTTTAGATAAAAAATAAAGCACAAATGGTTTTATGCTGGTGTAAAAGCTTTAGATTAAAGGATGAGATACAGAAATAGACTGTGAATGCAATAACTCTCAAAGAAATGAGCTGATAAATGATCCTCATGGACTCTCAAACTGCATAAAAAGATCAAAAGTAGAGTTGTAATGCTTGACCTTTTGCTCCAATAATTCAAAACTGGATTCAAAAACATGTTTGATTATAATCCTGCAAAAGGTTTCCTCGTTACATAGTTCATTATATAGCCTTTTTTGTTTTGTTTTTAACTGTTAACTTTTAACTCCGTGTCTTTCCCTCTGACTTGAAGAGGTCACATGGTTGACATTTCTTTCCAGCTTCCTTCTTCCTGCGCCGCATTATGAATTCACCATGAAGATCACGAGAGGCCGTCACATTAGGGGGATTTACGCGCAGCCGTCGGGTTCTGTGATTGCTTTCTGGCAAAGACAAAAGGGAGGCCGTGATTAAACAGACCGAGCGTCCGGGGCTCTCGTAGCTCCGACGCGAACCGGTTCTGTTGGAGCCGGAAAGCAAACACCAGGTGCACACGCTGAACGCCGTCCAGAAGGTTCTCTCCGTCCCGCTACGCCGCAGAAATAAAAAAGTCTTTTTTGAACTGATTCATGCATCATTCCAGCTGCTCTGCTCCGACCTCCACGAAAGAGCAGGCGGTGCGGCTCTTGTAAATGTTGAAGTCACTCGTGTTTTTGTGAGTTTTCTTCCTCCCTATCTGAGATCCTGATAAATAATCCCCACAGCGCCTGGTACAGTCGACGTCAGAAGCAATTTGTCTTCCCGTTTTACCTCGGGGTTGCACACAAACGACCTTTGCCGGTCGCCTCCTCATGTTATTGCTGGAGCGAAAATCTAATCAGCTGCAATACGTTTTACTTAGAGGCCCGCGAAGCGATGGCGCTGGCTCTGACGATAACCTCTCATCGCATTCCCAACACTCCTCCAATGTTTTTGCGCCATCATTCATCAGATGCGCGGCTGCCAAAGCCCGAACGCAAACGCTAAACCAGCATCATCAGTGTGACTAATCTGATGGGGAGGAGAAGGAGCTGCTCCAGCGGAGGACGAGGTTCATGAACTGTCCATGCAGCTCTTATTTGTTGTCTCCAAACTGTGGCTGTTTAAGATCACGATGTAAAATGTACAGCATGCGTGACCAAAAATATGACCTAGTCATCTTTTTCTCTTCTTTATTTATCTTTTTTTAATTTTTAAGTGCCTTCCTTCTGCCCAGATTTATCCCGACCCCAAGCTGATTGGCTGATTGGACAAAATCATTGAGCATTTTTGTGACAGTTAATTGCAAAGATTTCTGTGGAAGAACTTTGACTCCACTGTTCTTTGCAGAATTGTTGATTTTCAGCCTGTTTTAGATTAAAGTCCAGACTTTGACTAAGCCACTCTCGAACATTTGTGAGAAGACAGAGGTTGACTGCGGTGTTAACTTCGGATCTCTATTTTGTTTGTTTGTTTATTTTTGTCTTAATATAAGAAGGAAGGACTTTAAGGAACTGGCTGAAGATCAAGAACAGGAGCATTTGAACCTGGACATTCACTTTATCTCACACTTGTTAGATTCAGGAAGTGAATCAAATACTGTCGATATTTCACTTTACATAACGTGTCGTTTTTACTCCGCTGCTCACTAATATTAGTGCCGGGACTTTCACCCATTAATTTCAATTGGTTGATTGCATTTTTACATTTGACGTGTTTAACGCAATTAATCACTTTTTTTTTTTTTCTTTTTCACATCCAAAAATTCCATCCGGAACATTTGTGTTGTTTTTCCAGTACACCCAAAAATCGGACGCACGACAAACAACGATGCTTTTCTGAACCCACAGGGGCATTTGCTCCAAAAACAATTTAACTGGACTATCGCTGCGTGAACGTTGTGCTAAGAAGGGCTCGCCGATCAACAAAGTTAATCAAGTCTATAATAGCATCTCAATGCTAGGAATGCAGCTGCAGCACAGACGTCTGAAATGGCGATGTCAGCGTCCTGTCGCCATAAAATCTCCCAGAAGTCACTGCACTGAACAATAATATTCTTGTTTTGAGACCATTTTCAAGTAATATGACGCTGATGGCAAAATAATGCAAGAACACATTCCAGAAGATATTGCAATAAGTATTGTTGTTGCTGAGCTCACATGCCTATTTATTTAATAATTCAGCAGAGTTGAAAATAATGCTAGTTTTGTTAATTAAAATACTGGAATTAACTGGATTAAAAACCTTAAATGGAGTCCCACCACTAGCTAAACCGCAATAAACCGTATTGAGGGGAAAACGACTCGTTCGCCTGCGTCAAGCAGGAAGAACGCGGAGCAAACCTTCATGAAGCTGGTGGCCTGCTCCGGGTGCAGCAGGCAGATGCGCAGCTTGTTGCCTCTGTACGACATCTCTATCATGTCGAACGCCACAGCCTCGGGGACGGCCAGCACCACAGCAACCATCCAGATCAGGGTCACCTCCATGGCCTTCCACAGGGGGATCCCCATGCCCTTCACCCGGCTCCACGAGATCACGGCGTGGTAGCTAAAAACCAGTCAGACGTGGACACAGTCGCTCAAATGTGTCCACAGTGGTGGTCAGGAGGGAGTGTGTGTGTGTGTGTGTGTGTGTGTGTGTGTGTGTGTGTGTGTGTGTGTGTGTGTGTGTGTGTGTGTGTGTGTGTGTGTGTGTGTGTGTGTGTGTGTGCACTCACCGGTCAATGCTGAGAGCACACAGGCTGAGGACGGTGATTCCCACCGAGGCTTTCTGGATGAACGGGATCAGCTTACAGACGTGCACGCCGAACGGCCAGTCCTCGGCTATTAGCTGCGGTAGAAACAATAAAAACTTGTAATAAGAGAGATGTCAGCATAGCCTGTGCAAACACACACAGATCTCTCAGACGTTCACTTAAGGCTCCCTTTGTCTTTAATTCTTCCAAAATGAATCTAGTCGAGGCCAAAACAGCTGGGGGGCCGCTCCTCACTGCGGTCTGCGGGGGGGGGGATAGTTTCCGATCTGGTCTGAACTGAGCAAGGAATAACAAATAAGACCGCATGTTTAATTATTCTTCATGTTTTAATGGGTATTAAATAGCCATCATCGAAAAAGAGATCGAGATATTCTCTTTGTCTGTGTTGCTGCCTTGGCAAATTGGACAAAACTGAAAAGTCTCTTGGGTTTTTTTTCTCTGGAAAAAGAAAAGACATTTCAGGCGACCACAGCAAGGTATTTACAGACCCGGTTTGTAAAACTCACCAGGAGGGACGAAGTTGGTAACTCTACTGCCGACAAAACTTCAAAAATCGCATTTATGGTTCATAAATACATTTCTGATCCAACAAAACTGATTTCTGAGTTTGTAAATTTTTTTTTTTTGGACGGTACGTCAACGTTTCCCAGCTGCTCTGACTGTGATGTCACTCAAAGTTTCCTGTCACATCCACCCACGGGTTGCTATGATGAAATATTGATTGTGCCCCGTCTGTCGCTTTATCATCATTTATCGTTTCTATTCGCATCCGAGAAATAGGAACGCTCCGTAGCCGGAGCGTCATCTATCATCGATACAATACTGATATTGGATCGATATTAGACTAAAAATAAGTATCAGATTACATGTGATTATTTTTTTAAAGGATGGAGCTGTTGTTTGTTGTTGTGGATGTTTTGGATGGACTGTTTGAAATGAACTGTGTTGCATTTCTGTACCTTGACAACAGAGTCTGATTTTTGTATTTAATGGAGCAGGAGAGGATTTTTGTTTCTCCCAAAGCAACTCAGGTGCATTTTTCTTTTATTGTGCTTGAACTGCATCGATATTTGACATTCATTTATTTGCTAAAACGTTGAACTTTATGAAAGCACATGACCACTTTTTTTTCTGCAACAGCTCTTTGAGGTGAAATGATCCTGAAGATTTGGTTCCCATCGCTAGCTGACGGTCAATTATTGCAAAGTCATGCGAATTATCAACCTTTGCTGCAGATTTGTGGAGAGATTTTCTCAGAAATCTGGTTTTCCAGATTTCTGAGAAGATAGCCGTGTCGCCGTTCCTTCTCCACTTCTGTTTTGATTTCCGTGTGCTTGACATCATCTGAAATGACTCAAAACTCCCCCGAGGAGAATTGTCCGTGGTTTTGCTTGGGTAAACTTTACAGATTTTGAAAATCTGTTTTTCTCTCTCTCTTTTCGTTGCTTGTTGTCGATCCATCACATAAAACCCCCCCGGTTGGGGACTCCGGGGAGTTTGAGGTTGTAACGTGCAAAACAAAAACCCGCAACCCCGTAATTCATGTCCCTGAACTTAAAATCCATGTTTTTCTGCCACAGATGTACATTTCAACACAATCTGCGACTCATAAGCCCGTTGATAAAAAGTTAATATGAAAAGCCTGAACGCTGGATGAGGCTAAAAGAAATGTATGATTTTTTTATTTTTTTTTGGAAAGCATTCTGCTTCAAAATCACATTAAGCTGGAACCAGAGTCAGGCTTGTATGATAAATAGAAATAATTAAGAGCATAAAAGGCCTGGTTTCTAAATTATTACTGATGCAACTTAAACAACGAGGGTCTTTATTGTAACTTAACGATTCCCAGAAAGTCCAGGTCTCTTTCCCTGGCCTTAGTCCCAAAACAACCACACAGAAGGGAAGTTGGAGTCAAACGCAGACGTCACGCTGAAGCCTACCTTGTACACGTTGATGGGGATGGCGATGATGATGTACAGCAGGTCTCCGAGTGCCAGGCTGCCAATCAGCACGTTGGGTCCGTTCCTCATGCATTTGTTCCTGTAGATGATCCTGAGCAGCGTCGAGTTGCCGATGATCCCCACCACGAAGATCAGGCAGGAAATGATGGTGTTCACGTACTTGAAGGCGTGTCTGATCTCCGTCGGCTTGACGCACATGGGCGGGAACGGCCTCCGCGGACGGTCCGGCTGCGGCGCCGGGAGCTGGATGGACGCGTTACCCTCCGGGGGCTCCAGGGGGTCGGGGACGCTCTGGGAGTCGCGGGCCGACCTTGAGGCCCCGGCTTCCGCCAGGAGGCACAGCAGCAGCACGACGGCCCTCGTTCTCACAAACATGTCGGCGATCGCTCACGAGCGCGACGGGGGTCCGGTCCGTCCAAACTCAGATCCTGCGAGGACAAACACAGCGAGCGTCGCGCTGAACATAGAGCAGGGTGTTGATGCCAAGTGGGTTGAGGAGAAATGGAGAAAGTTTTGAGGAAATGACATAATAGTTTCAAATTCTCTCACTTTAGTCAAAGTCTTCCTGAAAAACCTCAAGAGTTCTGCTCAAGTCTTCCTCAGGAAGACATTTTCACTAGAAACAAGACAGAAATACGAAATATGTTTTTGCTGCGGGAACTACAGTTTTCTGTGAAACGTACAAGAGAGCCAAAGCAAGCCGCACATTTCTTTCATAGACGCCAATGACTTTTGTCGTCTATGACTCCATCGTTTGGAGTCTTATCTTGTAAAACCTAGATTTAAATTGCGTTTATATGTTTTTATATTTCCTAAGGAAACAGTAGAAATATGAAAATTCATAAATGTTTGAACTGTTGAATCTTTGGTTGCTTAGAGAAAGTGTGGTGCTTCGTTTGACCTTTCACACCTGCAGCCCCCCAAAAATTACCATGACAACCAGCACTTCTGGATGCAGGAATCTGACCCCATGACATTAAGATTTAAACTTAGAGATTGAAAGTGGATAACACACAGCTACTTTTCAAAATAAGAGACTCATCTACATATATAAATTAAATTTCTCTAAATGTAGGTCTCGATGCACTTATGGACATAAACTGGCGACGTAAAATGAATTTTCAGAGTAAAAGTCGAGCCACCAGGGGGCGCTAGGGGAACCTCAAGAAACTTGAGGGGAGATCCGAAAAACTAAATTTAAACTAATTCATTTTTACATATTTTTGTAGTTTTTAATTTAAAAAAATATCTAATGTTTTCTAATCACTGTTATTAAAAATATAAACTAATATAATTTATTGAAATGTTATTTACCATGCTTGTCTTTCTGACTGGCTGCTGGTCAAATTTCGCAAGTCGTTTTCCTCCCAATGCCAGCAGCTAAAACTGAAAGCTGTAAGGCAGCATTTATGCTAAACACATCAAAACTATTGAAAGTAGAGTATAAATGTGAGAAAACAATTCTAAAAGTTCATGTTTCTTGACATGTTTCGTAGAAAAGAGCGTTTAAAATCTTTTATTTATTTTTTTTGCAGTAAGACTTATCAGTTACCAGCTTGCTTATCCAGCCACATAATGCCAGGAATATGCAACGATTCTATTTTCGATATCTGAGCTAAGAACCAAAGCTCCGCTGGAAATTTAACAAGGCTTTATATCAACCTCTTTGAGTCCCTGCTATGCTCCAAGAACACCTGAAATGTGTCCAACACACAGTGTTAATCTTATCGTGCACACTGTGTTTTCTCTGTGTGCTGCAGCAGCATAAGTGTCAGTAAAAGTACCACCATGTCACTGCATTAGCACAAACTGTTGAAACAAAAGTGTGCAAGTTGATTTCATTGCTGTCATTTAATCCAGGAAAGCTGCAATTATGCAGCTGAAAAGCACAACACACTGACTCGTCGTTTGGAGTTTTATCTCGTTACGTAAAATTGAAACAGCAAGAGTGATATGATGGACAATTTCCTTGGGTTGCGTCCTTGGTGTGTCCAGATAACAGGCCAATATTTAGTATGAGTTTTCCTAGAGATTTCTGATGGAGTCACACATCCTGCCATGCACAAAAGGAGGAGATTCCAGGTTAAACTGAGCAGAATGACATAACCAGGTGTCTGTTTGTGAAAAACTCTCTATGTGAGTGAAATAATCTTAAATTGTAAAATAAAACAGGACTCTGTGTCGTCGTATCGACATGGGAGGCCCACATGAAAACCTTCAGGGTTTTAAACGACTTGCAGCCGTTCTGGAGAGGCTTTCCTAAGGTCTGCGTTTGACGGCCTACAGTAATCCGCGCACGCATGAATAATTGTTTCCACTTTAGGATGTGAGAAAATGTGGCTCAGTTTTCTCAGATGATAAAAACAGGGACGAACCAGAGACCAGGAGCTGAAGGTTCCTGACAGAGGACTGAACCAGAGGACTGAGCCGGAAGATCCAAATGTGGAAAGGGAAAACTGTGACGCAAAACCAACTCGAGTTATGCTAATGGAAAGTTGAGTGAAAGGAACAATACTAATGACAATGACGTCATACTTCACTGGCATTAGCAATACTTCACCACGTTCTGGTATTGTCAAGAGGAATATTTTGCACTATAAATCTGAAAAACTGACATTTTCTACAACTGTAAATAGACGTGAGCGACACGAACTTATCGAAACATTTTGCGGCAGTATCATGATAACAGTAAGCGTGACAATAAGAACTATTCATGGTAACTTTTCTAGGCAGCGAGAACAAACACTGCTTTTGAAAAACATAAGTCTTAGTAAAACGTTTCCTTCAGTCCTTTCAGTCACATAAACCGCACAGAGTGACCACTTTTAACCATGTTTTAATTTCTTTTTTTTTTTTGCCACCTATTGACTCTCATCATCTAACATGAAATAGAGAAAACAGTAAAGCTAACAGTCCAGACAACACTGACAGTTTACATTTATTTTTAAACATAATTGAAATTTATCGTGACAACGATGAATCAAAATTTGTATTACGACAAGAAATTTATCACGATAAATGACTATTCTGTGAGTAAAAGTCATCAAAATTAAACAAATACTCGGAAAAATAATTCCCACACACTCTGCTTAATAAGTCTGCGCATCATGCAGCCTCACATTTGCAATTAAATTGGTGTGAAAGATGAACGTTTCGACAAAATTCCAACTCTGGCCGAGACGTTAAAAGCGTCCCGAACGTCCACACGATCGAAATGAACAAGACGACGAACACAAAGTCATTTTCATCGAACAAAATAAAGGAAGAAAGCTGAATAAATGAAGTTCAGTGTGTGTCTGTGTGTGTCCGCTATTTGTGAGAGATCCTTTATGGGTTTTTTCTTTTTTTTTTTTTTTTTGGACAGAGTCTCTGCACAATCATGTGCTTCCATGAAAAACGCCAACGGGCATCTGAGGCTGAACAGGCTGTGGGACTGTGACGGCCGCGGAGAGAGGAGCTTTTGGGACGAACGTGTTCACACACACAGAGCCTCTCTGTGCAAATGCACGGCTATTTATGCGACGGCAGAGGCCGGCGCTAAAAACGCACGTCCTCCTTTATACATCCAGTGCAAAATAACAGAGACGGGAAGGCGTGGATGATTGGATGCTCGTATCACAAGAAACCAGTTTTGATCCTTTTTTTGTGACCACAGTCTGTGTAAATATTCCACCCTGTGAATGATGCCTTTGTGTTGGGTAACATGGCAGCTCATTAGAGAATATTAGAGCGGAGTTTTCTGATTCAATTAGGAAGCTTTATCCTTTTATTCTATTACAAACCATCTCTGACCTTTAGCGCTAATGGCTTTTTTTTTCTTTTTAAGAATTAAGGAAGGAAAAAAGTTGGCTGAAAGATTTTGGTCAGAGCATGTGTGACCTGATTGAGGTCAGGATAGAGGAGGGAGAAGTGAGTGCTGAAAGTGTTTTATTTATTTATTTTAAAGAAACCTGCAGATGGACAAGAAGAAGAAGAAGAAGAAGAAGAAGTCAAAATTGAGAAAACTTTCCTGCTGCAGAGTTTATAAGAGCAAAAGGAGGAGAAGGCATGCAGTGGAACAACAAAAGTGAAAAGAAAAGGAGCGCTTCTTCTATCAGCATGTAACCAATCACATTTAAAATGTACACAAATCGAATGAAATCGAATGATTTAATTTATGCAAACAATGAAACACAGAAGTTGGTTTCCAGATACAAAGATTTCTAAGCTGTTACTTATTTTGAAACAGAAGCAAAACATGAATTTGGTCACAAAACTCACATAAACTCCTTGTGGCTGCAGAAGTCCGCAAAGCAAAATAAGTTTTTATCGAATAATAATGTATGTGAAATATGCTGTAGCAGATGCATTAAAATGTAAATAAAAGACAAGAAAAACTATCTGTCCCGTTTGTGCAGTTGTGATCGACGCTAAAATTAAAATAAAATAAATGCAACCTCCACACGATTAATCGGTTTCAAACAAAGGTGTGACCTCTGAAAGGTTGAAATCAGTCAATAAATCCCACATATGCACACATTCAATCTGACATGCAACAAGTGCCTGTGATGAGCCACACTCCCAGCAGTTCAGAGAGGAAACCAGACACACTTACGGATTTCCAGAGTCACTGCGAGTGTTGGGGCGTCAAACCGTGCGCATCGATAATCCGCGCAGAGTCGATCTAAATCACATCGATCGGTTTGGGATTAATTAACGAACAGATGTAATCGCGCTGTCCCGGAGTTACAGATCCCAGCTCCTCCTCCTCGCCCTCCAGCTGCAGCAGCAGACGGTCCTGATCTCTCTGCACCTTCTGAGCGCCGCGGCTGCATCGCTGCTTTTATAGCTGCAAGCCAGGAGGCTGCAGGAGCAACCAATCACAGCCCGGACACGACCATCCTTCCCTCTGCAGAGTCGGTCTGAATGCTGACTTGTTTTCAACTTTCTAACTTTTACAGATGCCTTTTAAAAAAAGTCACAAAAACAAACAAACAAAAAATCCACCATATCCACTTTGAGGTTCTAAAAACTGACAGAAACTTTAATTATTTTATTATCGTCTTTCTGTGATATTTTAAAGCTTAATTAACAGAGATAATTAAGCTTAAAAAAGTCTACTACACTTACCAAATTAAACTGTAATATTTTGGATGCCACTTTTTTCTGAGCAGGAATAAGGCTCGGTGTTTACCTACAAAAAAGTAAATCGGTTAAATGGTACTTATTGAGATAGTTTTACTCATCTGGTTTGTGGAAGTAAGTAACTTTACATCTGGCCCCCCGGGGGGCCAGATGTAAAGTTACTTACTTCCACAAACATGTGGATGTTTTGACGTCCTGTTCATACACGCAACTGCTTCCGGGAAGCTTAGCTAGTTAGCTTTAGCACAACCTACGGAAGCTAAAGTTGGGTTCGGTCCTAAATTCTTGCCCCCAAAACCTATTATTATTGGCTATTTTGTTAAAGAACACTTTTCTAAACGAACGTGCTTGACCCAACGTGAAATAATTTGAAATACCAATAATAGCAGTGATATTAGCTGATATTAGCTAATATTAGCTTCAGTGGCATCCAAACTCTAGCCATGCTAGCTACAATCAACGAGTTGAAATTACAACGGGGTCAGGACAATTGAGTTTTTTCTTTCTTAGAAATCGAATATAATTTTTATTATTTTTTATTTATACACGCTCAGAAATAAGATAAACATTGAAACAAAACAAACTGATGTTTCCTTTTTTGTATTTCTGGTTTGAGAGCAGAAATATAAACAGGATGTCCACCTGTCTGCCTTATTAAAAGGAAGCTATACTCGTCCCCAGAGTTTGGGTGTTTTTCATTGTTTTCTATATTCAGAATCAAAACGGTTTTATTGTTATTGTAAAGAAGCACAGCAAAATGTGGTTTCCGTCCAGCCCATCCAAACAGGGAAGATGTGACAAAGGCTGCTGGCTCTGGTCGGTTATGACTCTAGAAAAACTGCGCAGTCGTTCTATTACTATATGAAATTACAATTATAGCTAAAAAGAAAAACACACCACCTGAATATTTTATCCTAATTCAGAGATTAAACAGCATCTGGCCGCCGACTTTGTGAAATTCTATTTAGTAGATATCTAGTAGAAGGCCAACCCTGATGTAAACAATTCAACAACAAACTGTCTGCAAAATAAATGAAAAGAAACTCAGCAAAATCAAATAGTAAATAAAACCTGAAATATATATTTTAACGCTAGTCTTTTTTTTGTTGTCTTTTTTATCTTAAAAGTTGCTCCCACTTCGTAATGTTTCGTAATGCTCTTCCTGGATTTGTTGTCTGTTCCAGTGCCCAAATCTACTTAGACACGCAACAGGCCAGAAAAACCAAAGATAGGGACAGTTTCCAACCCTTACATGCTGAAAACACACACACAAACACACACACCAAAGCAGACAAAGGCCCTTTCTCTGGAGTCTCTTTAATGACACCCATCCACTGCTCTATTTTGGGAGGTGACTATTCCTGGGGCACCATTACTCCCATTAACACAGTCTCATATTATTATACCATTATCTGACATTACCACCATTATGCATGACACTCAATGCCTTATTATTGTGCACCTGTGTGTTTGTGTGTGTATGTGGACGTGCTGCTGTCCCTGATGCTGCACAGGGTACAGCCTTGTTGAATGGACATTTATTGTTTTATGGGACGTTTACTCTTGGAGAGCTACTATAAAACGCTTTCTGCTTCCTCCTCTCCTTTCTCAGGAAGCAGCAGAACTTTGAACTGTTGATTAAAGTTTGCTTATTTTTTTGGTCGCCAAACAGAGGCTGATCAAAAAGAAGAAGGGAGATCAGAGCGGGACAGATCCTCTCATTGTCTTGGAGCTGAGATAATTGCCTGGACTGCATGGCAGGGATCCATCAGGCTGAGGTCCAGAGGGATGAACGGAAATAAAAACCACTCCCTAGGTGGGATGTGTCTATGTGCAGACGTCTGCAAGTTGCATGACGTCTGGAGCAACTTGCAGGCACCGGTGGGATGAGAGAATCCAGTTGTTGCGGTTTTTATGTCATGTCAAATTGCTCCAAAAGTCTTTCTTTTAATGGCAATAACCCTTTTACCGCTATGGGAAAACTGGGCTGCCATTTAGATCAATTAAGAAGTCTACTTGACCTCCTGAAGTAGACTTTCTTCAGACTTTCTTGTTGGCATTATTGCAACATTTCAGAAATCTCTGCTGGAATTTCAAAACAAACATTTGTAGATGCGAAACCATCTTCTGTCACACAACATTAGCTTTTTATCGGCTGTCGCACTTTTTGTCGGCCAAACTGAATTTTCTTGTGGTTTCTCGATGAGACAAAACACTAACAGGACTCTGCTTAGTCCTCTATATGCAATTAAGCAAAGATTGTGGAAGAGTAATCGTTCTTAGCGCTGCAGCATTCAGCTTTTATATTTAATTTTTTTTCACATGCATATTTGTTGAAACTGTCATCGTGTCGTGGTTTGAGACTGACAATCTGAAAAAAATCAAACTCCTCCTCCTTCTCTCAGTGCTCACCAGAAACAACCAATCAGAGCCAGGAGGAGGGGCTTAGCGCTATCAATCAGCTGGTGTTTTCGTTTTCTATAAAACGTTCTGAACACATTTTGGCTACATGCTGTCGTTCTTTTCTTGCCCACATTAAAACCTTTTGCATTTTGGAGTGCTTTTTATTTCTATTGTTGGTTGTTCATAAGAACCGGTCACCCATTTACTTTTTCCCTCGCTTATTTTCCATTAGAGTTGTGCGCACTAATTTCCTGCTCTATCCGCATGAGACGTAGAGGTGCTTGAACCATGAGGCAAAAGTACAAATAAACCCGAGGTCCCGTGCAGATGTTTCCTATAATTACACTAATTATTTATGACCATCAGCAGGTGAAAAGCCTGAGACTCCCAGATTTTTTTTGTTTGTGACCTTTATCTTTGTAGCTTTTGGCTCACAAATCTCTGGTTCGCTATCAAACGGACTCTCAACAAAGGTTTCATAAATATGTCGAAAGGAGCGTCCCGGCTGATGATAGGGACGGAGGGGATGGAAGTAAAGAAATCATTGACCGACATTCACCTCGAACGAGGCATGCAGGCCCTCAGACGCCTTCACCATAAATTAGCTGGAGCCTCAAAGATGTAAACACAAAATCTGACCAGATATTTCCTAGTTTCTACAGTATATATCTTCATACAATTGAAATGAGTTGCAAGTAACTTTTCAGCAAGATATAGGAACTTTGTTTAAGATATATAATTTCTTTAGCATTGATGAAAAAGTACAAGACTATGTCTTGTTAAAAGTGAAACAATCTGACTTGTTTTCATATCTATATTTTACTGAAAAGTTACTTGTGAGTTAGGTTTTTTCAAGTGTACTAAGATATTTGCGCTAGAAAATAGACCAGATTTTATGTTTCTGCAATGCGGCTCCCCAGCAGACGTAACCCCGGCTGCAAATCTGTACTGTGTTTTAAGCGCAGGCCAAAAAGTGGGATTGGGCAACACGAAGCCGTGGTTTGCACACAGCAAAGAATGCAAACGAAACAGAAAGAAAGAAAAAAACATGCGCTGGAATGACAAAAGGCATTCAGGAAACATCCGATTACTGGCGTGACTCTCATAACACAGCAAACCGCACATCCATAACGAGCCGTAGCGCTGTGTGTTTTCCTTCCTTCTGTGATGTTCCACCGGATCAAAGCACTGTGGTTGTAATGTCGGTCTGAGTTCGTCTCAGTCTTTGCCTCTGGGTTTAGAGATCAAAACATGCATGGCTGTCTTTTACAAGAAGCGGTTCCTGTTGTTTTATTTTTACGTTTCCAGCAAAAAAAAAAAAAAAGCATATTTGTGTTAGGAGAGAATGTTTTTTTCTGGAGACCTCAGCTGGATTCTGCCCTGACGGTTGTTTTTTCTGCGGATATCCTCATCAGGAGGCCGCGCTCTCGCTCTTCTTCCTGTTTCTGTTTCCCCGCGCAGCAACGAGGACATGAAGTACAGCCAGGGTTTCTGAAATGGTGTGTCTCCGTGCCGTTTCCCCTCCCCAACACTCACGGTTCCTTCTAGGATTTCCTCAATTGGTGCTCTGCTGGGAGATGGAGCGCGGTCTCAGGACCCTGACCTCATATCGTTTGACCGACCGTGTAATGCGCCGTTCTGTTTCAGACAGACAGATGTTTGTGGCTGCTGGTGAAGACTCCATTTAGTATCTCACCTAATTGGTGTAAGATGTTCTTAACAATGGCGCTTAATATCTTTGTCTATAAATTTTAGTTTTAGAAAGTCTGTTTTTTTTTCTCAATATTTACAAGGAATGACACTAACAGAAGTTACAAGCAGTTCTGCTTTTTGATCTGTTTTTTTGTTGTTGTTGTTAGGTTGGAATCTGCTTTATTTTTACGTTATGTTTCATATAGGAGTAGTTCAGACTTTTTTCTTTAAAATGTGGGGTGCTGGAGAGTTGCCATCTGTGCTTAGTTTCTTACTTTCGGTAGTCTGAAGGATCTCGGTTTACTTCTAGAGACCTGATCTGTTGGCTCATCAGAATGGGGCTGACAGGGAAGATTTCAGCCATCTTAGACGGTGGCGCAGCGACTGGGCTTCTACTGGGCTTCTACTGGGCTTCTACTGGGCTTCCAGATTGATGTGTGGTTGCTTTCGAACTCCAAACTGAACCATCAAATCTGATGTGGCAAATCCCAGAGTTGTTTCTGAAAACTAAAGCAGTGCTTAACCCTCTCAGGCTCAAATTACTTGAAAAGACTGCCTAAGT